TTTTTGGCTTTGAGGCCTCCAAGGTAGAAGTCAAAGGAGGAAGTCCTATAAGGCAAGTGCATGCAATGCTTTTTAGAAGCATTAAGTTGATCACGTTACATATAGTCAAGTTATATTAGCTTGATTCCAATAGAGGAGAGTGGAAACAAATTTTTTTTAGTTACAACTTTGAGAATATCAGAAGGGCAAAATTTTGTGCTTATTTTTTGAAATCCATGTTGATTTGAAGTGAATGCTTACTTGGTTTCTGACTTCTGCTTCATGTAGGTTTGAAAAACTTTCAAGAGCTCTATACTCATTGACAGTCCTGGCAGTATCTCAGAATGTATCTGTCATTGTTGCGGCAGGAGAAGTGTATGATATCTCGGGAAATCTGAATTTAGCTTCAAACCAACTTGAAGTCGGGCATTGTATGCACAGCTTCACAGATATTATGACATTTTCTTTTTTTTGTTTCTTTGTTCACTTAGATTTAGAAGAACTTAAGCTGTTTATGGCTGCATGTCACGTATTTTAATGACGTACTACTTTTTGAAAGCTTCTTTACAGTGTCCAGCCTTTCTTATTCACTTCTGATTCTTGTGCTTAAACAGACACAGCTCCTATTATATCAACTGCACTTCACTCCTTTGTGTCTGTGGGAGTATTAGCAACCTCACTAACGGCTGCAGTTCTTTCATTTTCGTATGCAAATCTAGCAGCGATAGGCACTATAACTACTGGAGGTGCCAACACAATTTTTTCTGACCCATCAATGAATTTACATGTAAGTATATGTGTGCTCCTAAGTGCCACAGATTGAAATCATATTCCTTTTGTTGGATTATAACTTACACTTCACATCATGTCTTCTGTTACATTGCATATAGGAACGTATTTACAGAGTGGCTACTTATCCTTGTATAAAAGCCTACTCTGTCGTTTGATTTTATGTATTGAAATCTCTGTTCCGTTGCTGATGTGACTATCTGACTTTTGATGGGAGCTTTTGTCCGTCACAGGGAATGGTGGGACACCTACAAGTGTTCGTCCTCTGTGACTGGCTCTCATTTAACTTACCTGCAGAATATTCTGAGACAGTTAAAGGTCTCAGGTGGCTTATTCCTCACGAGAAACTCCCTTGGAAAAGTGAAAGTTCGTTAACTTGGCCCAACCATTTACATCTGGCTGGCGCAAGGTCTGGAATGAAAGTTAGTGGCAGCTCCAATTGGTTCTCCTCTTCAAAAGAATTTCAACATCCGACTGCCTTGAATCTAACCAATTTCTCCAACCATTTGAATCATTGGCTACCATTTCTAACTAATTACTCGAATGATAATCGGCTCCATCCACAGCAAAATATGATCATGAAAAACTCAGCTTATGGTCTACCCCTAGATTCCAATGAATATTTTACTTATTTCCTGGTGAGTTTTTCCTCAACATTATCTTATTGGACAGTTATAGAAGTTTACTGATCAATGTACTTGCAGCGAGGAGAGCCATTCTCTGCTAGTGGTGTGGTTAAGAGGCTGGAGAATTACACAGGGTAGCTACACTTTCTCCTTCCCTGCTTCAGAATTTGAAATATAGAATAAACCACTGCAAACTATGGTAGCTTTTACTTGCTGGAAATAGATAAGGGATTGAATAAACTAAACAATGAAAATAACAATGCTGGTTTGTTTTCTCAATAGGTGGCAGGACTTAGAGATGAACTTGTTCTGGCTTGGTGTGGAAGGAGGCAGTTTACTCATAATCCATGCTTTGACCTTAATTTTTGTAAAATGGAGGACTCAAGTGTCAGCTCATGGGACACTTTCAATACCAAGGTTTGAGCTGTTTCTTCTGATTCTCATGCTACCTTGTGTCTCTCAATCTTCAGCGTTTGTTATAAGAGGTAAGTGGACACAAGTTACTGTACTGAAGTAAATTGTTTTATCTTACTGGTAATATGAACTCGAGAGTGTTGCAGGTGGTACGACAAAGGGAATTCTCATTGGGGCTTTGTTGCTAGCCATCCCAGCAGGTCTTATTCTATCAGTGTGCCTCTTTCTTACGATCACAATCTTCTCTGGCAGCTTTGCTCAGTATAAGGAAGTTAAGCAGATCGGCACCAAAGAACCATGGTATATGAAGCTTTGGCTTCTGTTCACCGGGAGGCCTACCACTGGAAAGTGGTTTTATAGAGAAGGGCTGACTTCATCATTCCTCCCACGATTTGGGATTCTATTTGAGAACCGGAAGGGTCCTCCATTTTTCGTGTTACTTGATCAAAATGACCCGAACAGCATACCCAAGTGGATTGAAAGTGGCCAAAATGGGGTAGGAAGAATGAGAGCAGTCAGCTCAGATGACAGTACTGAGGATACCAAAATTCCTATGCTCAGGAGATTCCTGGGATCGGCCAGATCCTCCTATATCAATCTTGATCTTATAAGGAGAGCCGGTCTGGGGATACTATCTGGAGTTCACAAGTCAAGGGGTTCAGGACAAAGCCTTATAGCGCTAACAATCACGGTCGTGCAACTGTTGTATCTGTTAACTCTTAAACCATACATCGCTAGGGGAGTTCATGTTGTGGAGAGCGTGTCTCTCTTGTGTGAAGCAGGCCTCTTTGGACTATCTATCAGTAGCAGTAGCTCCAATCCAGTCAGCGATAGCAATTTGGGATACATTATGCTGGCTTTCCTCTTCCTTACCTTTGTTTCTCAGATCATAAATCAGTGGTATGCGATGATAAAATGTCTTTCAAAATTCTCACCGCCTCAGAAGAACTCACTAAAACATGGCCTGAAAAATGCCACTAAAGGTCTTCTGATTCCTTTCCTCCCGAGGAGGCATTGGTCAAGAGTCATCCCTGGATCCTCCAAACCAAAAGAAGGCCTCTCTGCAGTCCCTCCTTTGAGTCCAGAAACACACTTTCAAAGACAAGATGCAAGAGCACCACATGTTGGCCCATTAGGATCCATGTCTGCAACAGTGGTTCCTATGCTCAGTCCTGGCTCTCCTGGCTTTAGTACTAATCCAGTTTCAGGTTCCACAAGTGCAGGAACAGCTGATCATGGACAGAAAACAGGGGGAGTAAAGCAGCCAAAAGGACTTACATCCGAGCCGAAGAGTGAGATGAAAACTCTAAGGGAGTTGGCAAAAGCTAGTTTCTCAGGGGTGGCGAAGTATGAAGAAGGCTCTACTAGCTATGGCGCGAGAGTAAAAGGTTTTCCAGGTAAAAGCTCTCTAGATAACATCAAACCATACCCAAAAAGCAGGATCTAATGTATTCAAATTTTCACTCACAAACTGCGCAAATGTTAACTTTGTCTTGGCATATGGAACATTTTTTTTTTGGGTTCTCCTTGGGATATAGCATGCTTCCAGCTATCTTCTTGATTTTATACCAAACTATTTCACCTGCATATAACCTGTTCGCAGTGTTCTACATTCAACAATGGTACTCCTAAGTCCCGATCCCCTTCCCCCACAAAAAAAAAAAAAAAATACATTCAACCCATACTTCCCTGCTCCAAAGAACGTCGAGCTAAATACTCATTTTTGCCAAAACACATCGGAATATTACCAAAAAAGGATAAATAAATTCAAGCTATCTATCAAAAGCAGAGGGGCTGGGCTGTTCATGGTTTAAAAAAAAAAACCCTACTAGACTAGATGGATTCCAACTAAACTTTAACTTCTACTTGGATCGTAGATGATGGAGCAGCATACCAGAAGAAAACAAAAGTCCTAATTTGAATCACGATCTAGAGTGACACCACAACATATAACAATGATAGTGAAACATATGTCAAAGTCAAATCTCCATTAGAATGCCAACGTAAGAAGCAAGGAATTAACAGCATTCCTTTGAGATGGAAAAGATTATATGAAAAACTGTTTACAACTACATTGTGTAGTGCTTCATTAAACCAACTAAACAAAAGTACAATGGTGTCAGCGCCAACAAATTTGATACCTTCAGGAACTAAAGACTGGATAAAGTAAATCCCACATTCAGTGCCTGTCCATAGAAAATTGAGGAGATAGCAAACAACTCACAAAAGCTATTGCCAAAGAGAGCTCAAGGTTTCTCATGGCAACCTAATCTTTGCCATATCGAGGTGGAGTCTGATCATCTTCCCTGTCTAATTCAGAGAAAGAATCTCCAATAAGCTTTTGCCTTGGATATGGTACAAGCAAGTCATGAAGTCTGATGAGCTCGGATTTTACTGGACCAAGTCCAATTTAAATAAATTGAGAAAGTCCAAAGAAGTGTCCATTGTTGACCCATCGAGGAGGACACCAAAAGGACATCACCAAAAGCCAACGGCTGAAGGAGGAGGAGGACAAGGGAGCCCATGGGCACCCCTCCTCTTGATCCTCCTCACCTTGATCCTCCTCACCTTGGTACTCCAGGTCCAGATTCAAGACAAGTCCAGGTCCAGGTTCAAGTTCAAGCCAAATCTATTCAAGACAAGTCTAGGTCCAGGTTCAAGCCAAATCTACTCAAGACAAGTCAAGGTCCAGGTCCAGGTCCAACTAATGTTCTTCTCCAGATGAATAAGAGCACGAGGGAAGATAATATGGAGATAGAAATAGAAGATCTCCTACCATAGCAATACTTGCCAAAGTAATAGAATTCTTCTCCCTCACGTCACCGCCTTTACTACCTTACTCTAGCTATATAATGTAAACCCTCTCAACATGAAGGGCCGAAAACGCCTCCAAGGACCTTCTTGAAACCTCTACACCTTGAAGCCTTCAAAACCTCTCCGCACTTATCTCTCTCTCTCAAAAGCACTGTAACTCTCCGGAAACCATGATTCATCAATAAAGAACACTAGGTCACCGCTGCCGTTTCCGAGAATAGAATAGGTTATCTGAACCGGACCACTATAAATTCCTATGTTAATCTATTATTTATTGTTTTACTCTTAATTGCCATTAATTATTTGTTTGTCACTCATTAATTGCACCTTTACACATATTTGACTGTTGACCTTACACGAAGACAATTTTTTGCATCATCAAAGTCCACGCACCAGAAGCCATTCGCTGTTGTACATATCTGGAAAGATAACCGGAAGACCATTAACCTCAAGATTATCACCAGACTTTTTGACTTCAATATTAAACCTTTCCAAACATGTCTGCAGCGTTTTGCCATCATCAACCGCGACCAAATCCCTCCATGTGATCCAATCAGGAACAACATGCCTCCGAAACACCACTGAGTAATCACTAAAATTATTCTTTACATATTCATCGATTTCCCTATCTATCGGTGCAAAAATCGTCAACTTAGTCCCATTGCTGGACCCTGCCAATTGCATATTAAGAAATGTGGCCATTCTAGTATAGCCCCTTGACCTTAGCAAACCGGACGCTCTACCATAATAAGCCAACCGTTTGCTCAGAATTGGATAATTGGGCTCGGCGATTGAACTAGGGGAAGGCACTGGATGCAAATTCAGGGATAAACGGAGAGAAGAAGCAAAGAATTCTGCAACCCCGTGTCCGATCAAAGATTGGTTATTATCATACATGGCCGGTTCATTAATCTTGACGTTGTTGATTGACAATTGAGAATCGGAGGGCCAAGAAGTGACGATAAGTGAGTGATTTGGAAGTAATGTGGGAATGGTAGATCCGTACGGAAGGGCTTTGAGGTTCTTGGTGGGGAAGTGAACTGGAGAGATGTGGCATTGGAGTTGATTGAGGGAAGGTTGGCCTATGTGAACGAAAGCAGCATCGGAAGGAGCGAAGATTGTGGCGGTTGGTGACCGGAGGAGTAGGGTTTGGGAGACGAGTTGTAGAGTTAAGGCCATGGAGAGATGACCGGAGTCTGAGAGTGTTCCCATGGCGGCATTGAGGGTGTTTCCCGGAGATAAAAAGGCAAAGGAGAAGAGAGAGAAGAAGATGATGAAAGAGGGGATATTGAAGGTCGCCATGGCTGAGTTGTTTGGAGCTTTTTCTTGAATTTCGTTCTCTCTGTTTGGTGCTTGTCGTTAAAGAAAGGCTTTGTGGAGCTACCGACCGAGTCGGTTAGGACAACAGGCAAGTTTTGGCGGGAAATCAAGGAGTTTATGTATTTAACTGTTGATTATGGTTTTTTTTTTGGTCATTCATAAAACAGACTTACAAAAAATATACTTACAACAAAAAATAAGTAACAGGAACTATCCTATGCCCACACGAACATCCTTCTGGATCTGTTGCAACACATGAAATAGAGGATTCAAAAACCAATCAATAGAAAAACTCTGACAATTGGTTAGATGAGCAACCATGTGAGCTAAGTGATTAGCAGATCTGTTGACAAAAAGAAAATTAACAGCAGTGAGCTGGGAAGACAGAAGCTATACATCACGCTGAAGTGGTTCAATCTCCCTCAATGACTTTGCAGGTCCCAGCACCAAAGAATCAATGAGAGCTTTTGAGTCACTTTCAAAAATAACAAACCTCCAGCCTTAAGTCAGAGCCAAATAGCACACCTTCCAAATGGCCTAGGCTTCAGATGTAGAGGCAGCACACATCTTTCCCGACGAAGTAATAATAACCTAGCCTGTATGATCTCTAGTCACAGCTGCATACGCACCTCGCTTCCTTGTTGCAGAAAAAGCACCATCACAGTTAACCTTCACCCCATCCAGGTGGAGGGGCAGACCAAGGTGTTGTAACCACCTACATATACATGGTATTAGCCCCATCCGCTCGAAGAGGATGCAACTCCGTAATTGTCATCTTTGTCTGTCTGATGACTGTCACACTATCCACTGACTTTCCATTAAAACACAAATTATTTCTGCTTTTCCATATGAACCACCGCATATGGGCAATGAAAGTGCTATACTCTTTCGCACTCCAGGCTCCCCCAGGACCATTCTGTAAATGTTCCATCAATCAAAGCTCAATCCTAGAGACATTGAATCGATCCACTTGAATTTGCAGTGGAGAATTGCCACAAACCTCAACCACCCAAGGACATAAAAAGATATTCCACTGTTTTCTCTTCCATTCCACAAATCGGACAAACAGGAGAATGACATATTCTCCTTCTCCATAGACTGTGTCTAGTTGCAATAGCTCCCACCGCCACCTTCTATAAAAAAGAAGTAATCTTAGGCGTTACTTCAATCATCCATAACATCTTCCAAAAACCATCAGGAAGAGAAAAAGAAGAAGAGGCGTGTCCATTGGTTCGTTGAGAGTCACTGAACCCCACAGCCAAGTGGTATCCACTCTTCACCGAGTAATGCCCAGAAGTGGGGGCTTCCCATGTAGCCTTATCCTCATGCTCAGAAGCTAAAAAATGGGATGGGACCACCGAGCGTCAGTTTGTAAGGGACTGTTCTGGCTTAACCAAGGTCTTGAGTTCGAGTCTTCGGAACGCAGCTGCGTTTGGTAGGGAGAAATTTGCCGCCCTTGTGGTCCTGCCCGACTCGAATCTGGATTAGTCGGAGCTCAAAATGAATTTCGGATACCGGATGGTCTAACCAAAAAAAAAGCTAACAATGGGACGACCAAAATTGTTGTGACCATGTCAGTTGGAAAAATCTCTCTAATCACATCCTCCGTCCACCTCCTTTTACTAACATTAATGAGATTTTGCACCTTCCTTACAGCACTGCCTGTGTGATTAATAACACTCGTGAAACCAGGAACCCAATGATCCTCCCAACAATCAATGCAGTCACACTTTCCCACTTGTCTTATTATACCTTTTGCTAACAAGTCCCTCCCCGAGAGAATGCTCTTCCAAATCCATGAGCTATTAGCCTTAGAATGAGCCTGCCATATAGAGGAATTTGGGAAGTACTTTGCCTTCAGCACTTGACCCCCATAGGGAATCTGAATGATGATATAACCTCCAAGCTTGCTTTGCTAACACTGCCGTGTTAAACTTTTCCAAATCCCTAAATCCCAGTCCCCTTGCATGCTTCAAGTTCCCTTTCTATTTCCCATCCCCTTCCCCCTCCCCCAAAAAAATGTATTTAACTGTTGATAGTTGTTTGGTCCATAGACTTAAAAAGCCCCTAAGCTACGCCATCAGGATTTTTCTAGTCAATGCCGTAGTCGGAATGACCTTCCATTAGATCAGAACTGAGATTAGTCCATATGCAAGTAAGTTGATTCGAATACTTCTAATCATTAAATAAAAAAAAATAGTTTTATAACCATAAAAAATATTATTTGAACATAATTTCAAGACTTAATCAACTATAATTGTTGGATTAAATGTAAACTTCATCTTATATTGAAACTCATAATGAAATTCCTAATTAAATTTTAAAATAGCATTATTTATATAGCATTATTTAGATCCCTGATTCCTAATCCCTAATCCCTAATATAACATTATTTATAAATATATATTGATGTCAATTTCTCATATACATTTAAAAATAAATCTTATTTATTTTCTATAATATGTAAGAATAATAAAATTGTTCTCGTTATAAATGTCAAATCATTTGTATGTGGAAAATTCTATGTCGTGTTTGGTTAGCTTCTGTAAAATAATTTTTTGTTCTCAAAATTTTCAAAACACTCAAAACCTGTATATTTAGCATTTTTGTTCTTTGTATTTTGGAAAAAAAATGATATCCTAGTCAAAGAAACGAAAAACAATTGTAGCTTGATTTCAGAGTTTTTTTTGAAAATTTTGGAAAAAGGAGAACAATTTTGGATGTTCAGATATGAGTATATATATATATATATTATGAAATTGTCAATATAAAAATAATTTTTTTATTAATGCTTGAATTACTGTTCAAATATATATTTAGGCTGTCCAAATAGGTTTTACTATTTTCTGTATTGTAAAATTATTTTTGAAATCATCTTACCAAACAAGTTTTTTATTTTAAAAAATATCAAAACTATTTTCTTAAAACTCTTCCCAAAAACTGTTTTCGGATATTATTTTTTGAAATCCAAATCAAACAAGTCGCTATATTTTTTGAGTCTTAGAGTCTACGCTGGAGTTCAGTGATTAACTGCTATATTAATCTAACTAAGTTCGTTCTTGAGAAGTATAACAAACATAGTCATGAGTCTCGTGATCTCATTAGTGAAGATTTATCAGGATAATCTCTGGGCGTTTTTTTTTACATCCATCTTTCTTCTAACAAAAAAAAAAAGATTGTATTGGACAACGAACAAATTTGTTAATTCTATATTAACAAATGGTGATGGTTATGATTGATTTAATATCTATTATGGGTCTTAGATGCCCCTTACATCGTATATCAAACATGGGATGGTCTTAGATGCTCCTTACATCGTATATCAAACATGGGATGAGAGAGACACGTGAACCCAAGCACACCCTCAAACGGGTGGGATTTGAATGGCCACAAGATTTCAATCCAATCCTGCTCTTCGCCACCATCCAAACATGACCCAACTGGGTGGATGATGGCAGTGCCGGGTAACGAGAAGAGCTGATAATTAAGTGGAGTTATTTGGATTTGGTTCAAGTTTGATTTTGATAGGATTTTATTTGAGTTTGACTTGTATTAAATTAGTTGAGTTTAAATAATTTTTTAGACTTAATTAGAAAATGAGTTTAAAAATTTTACTCCAACTTAGAAAATTCAAATCGTTTATATATAAAATGTTAGAATTATTCGAGCTCCGCGAATTTCTTAAATTAGCTAAATTTAAATAATTTATTAAGCTCTTTTTAAAAAAAAGTACAATAAATTCAACTTGTGTCCGTAAAATTCGACTTAATTATCAACTCTAATTAGGAGATCGGGTGATCTTGGGAATGTAAAATTTGGTGATTTATTTATTTTTATTTTCAATTTCTTATTATCGGTGCAATAATTTTTCCATCTATTATCCCTTATAAACTTCTCTAATGTGCTAAAAAGAAAAGTTGAAGGACGAGAAGAGAGTCACGTGAGTGGTGGGATGAAAGTGTAATTAACCAACAGGTTTAAAGAAGACGGTGTCTCATGTGGTAATAATGTGCTAAAAAGAAAAGTTGAAGGACGAGAAGAGAGTCACGTGAGTGGTGGGATGAATGTGTAATTAACCAACAGGTTTAAAGAAGACGGTGTCTCATGTGGTAAGCGGTCCGCATTCGAGTCCGCTGTGTTCTGCCGGCGGACATTATTTATAGGGCTATAGAGGAACCGTGTGTTGAGTAGCCTCAAAAATGTCAGCTTCAGCTTTGGAGTACAAGGACTCAGGAATGCTATCAAGAGAGCAGTTGCTTCATCTCTTCGATCGCTTCGCTTTTCTCACCTCACAGCTTGGTATACTTCCCCTCTCTCTCCCTCACTTTTTTCTGTATTTTTTTTTACATTTTTCTGTCTCTTCAATCTGCATGATTCGTAAAAGCTCTTTCTCTTTCTCTCTTTTTGAAGATGTGAAAAAGCGGATTGCAGACGCTGTGAATGACAAACAGGTAAAATACCAATGTACTGAATCAGTTAGACACTTTTGATTACCAGAATTCCAATATCAAGAACCCAAATAAGTGACTTTTAATTCATTCATTTCAGACGATTTATTAGAATTGTGTGGCTACATTATCTCTGATGTACTGTACCGTTGGGATTGCTTGATTTGGATAGAACACCTGCCCATTTCGGAGTCTTAATCATGTGTTTAAGTTGTTTGATGATTAGGTTCAATAGTATTTATGCTATCGTGTTCTTTGGCGAATATAAGTGGAGTAATGGAATCTGTGAGGCTTCATTTTGTTCTGGAAAGGGAGAAAATGCATGAAAAGCAAAGGACTGATAAAAGCTATCTGAGTTTGTCTCTTATGACGCATTGATTATCTCTGCTGTCCAGTACTTCTAGCGTTTTTTTTGTAGTTGTAAAGTGCCTCAACATACAGTATTTCTTGTGCATCGATACAGGAATATGGTAATATTTCCATTTATTTGCTTTAGTGTTTTTCTTTTCCTAATATTTTACTTGGACTTGGGCATCTGTTGGGTTTGTTTAGTATTTGTGGTATTGGATTTGTTAAAACACTCAATTCAAGGACATTGCAACATGTCTTGATATGCAAAATGTACTATGTTCTTTTACATTCCAGGTTAAATTAGTTTGTTTATGTAACATACTATGTTCAATGGGTCTGGTCTCGTGTGGTACCAATCTATAGAAGACCATGCTCGGGCTGTAGTGCTATAGCATCTGAGCTTCTCATGTCAATACTCCCATACATAATGATCAGTTCGTTCGAAAGGTTAAATTGAGTATCCGTTTCCCTCCCTTTCTTGTTCAATGTTTTGCCATACATACGAATTGATTTTGCAAGTGGAGATTTCATTAAATGTAAAAGTTGCACTTTGTTCTTGTCCAGGGCTTGTACTTATAGGTCATCTATTTCTCCCTTTGTCTAAGTTTAATCCTAATAAGCAGGAAGCAGTTGCTGTAACCACTGCAATCCAAGAGGAGATCTTTGGGGACATGGGGGTTGGTAAGTTTCCCTTATTTGATACAACAGGCTTATGAACTACAAGCATCCTAAATGTTAGTATTCGTTGAATTTTCTCATAAACATGGTGGTATATAAGGTGCTTGTTGGATAATAAAAGATAGGATTCCATGGGTAGTGGATATGTTGTAATGTGCATTAGATACAACACTGACAGTTGTGATCCACAATTTTTTAACGTGAAGTGGATTTGAAAAACTAGAACGTAGTGCACAGTTTAGTGATTAATACATTTCAGAAAAAAAAAGTCGACCATTTAAGTTTGTCTTGTGAGTACCTTGGATGGCAAATGTTGATGATAAATGTGCTGCTAGATCTATAACCAGTTTGGTTTTGATGCTAGTGTTATTGACATCGTATTTGCCAAATTTAGATGACAAAAATGAGCAGTTTTCTTCCTATGGTCACTTTGCAGCATACTTTGCTACAATGTGATACCTGTAAGACCCCATATTAAAAATTTAAATAAGGATAATATTATCTTAAGAGTTCTCTTAAGATGAATAAAATGATGGTAGAAAATTAGAATCATAGTTGAAAGATTGATTATACAGTTTGAGTTTTACATGTATTTACGTTAAAATAAATTGAGTTTTAGAGATGTTTGGATTGAAAAGTGTGGCTAAGTAATTTTATAAATATTTTTAGGTCAAAATAAGGTTTTTATTGAATCTGGAAGGTTGAAAAATCTTGGGAGAGGTAATATGAGGTGTATTAGAAGTTATAAAGTATTTTGAAGTTAAAATCTATTTTGGAAAAGATTTGGGTAGAAAAGAATTTGACACAACTTTAGTATTTTGACTATAACTTTTTACTCTAATATCCAATGGAGCTGATTTTTGGAGTGCATAAACTAGACTTCAAGGGGTACAAAAGTGTATTTCACAAAAATTTCATGAATCGGCTTCTAAATAGGTCAAAATTGATCTAGAAGTCGGAAGTATACTGTCTGATGCGTCTAGACGGGAGAAACGCGCTTCTGGACGCATTGGGTAGAAGTTGGACGATCTGTGTTGAGAGTTTTTTTCACTTTTGGTATTATAAATACCTAAGGAACGACCCTTAGGCCTAGGTTTAGCAATTGTTCGTCCAAGAAAACCTTAGAAAGCTTAAGAGGAAGAAAGAGGAGACACGAGGAGGATTCTTGTTTTGGGATTGATTCAAATACGCTAGAATTATCTTTAAACATCGGATTAAAGGTAGGGGTTCTTTCTCAGATTCATTCATTGATGATTAGAGTTATATAATATATCTTTTCATCATTATTATGATATAAATAATTGATTTACAATATTTTTACGTTCTTTTGAATTCATGACTCGTTTCTTGAACAAAATACATGATTTACTTTCAAGATCTATTCTTCCTTGATTACAAAATATAGTTTTTGATTACTATCAATTCAAATATATTTTCTGTGGGATCTCTTGCATGTTTTGTTGAATTATTCTTTTGAAAAAAATTATGGATCAATAATTCTTGATTGTAGTTGAATTTTATGAAAAATGTTGTTTTTATCCCTTTTATTGATGGGTGCGATGAACATAGGTTACACTTGAATGCATATCGTAGAGTATTAGAGGTTTTCCTATCTTGAGAGATTTGGTGGTTGCCTAACACTTATAGGGGGTTTAGTTTCTTACGAGAGCTAACTACTATTTGTCCATGTAAGTTCGAGACTGGGGCCTAATTTACTATTCCTAGGAAAGGATATGTCAATGCTGATACGTCGGTGCACGTCCTTCCTAAAGTGTTGTGGCCCTGCAGGGATTAATTTGAGCTAGTTTGTGTTATGGGTGGACGAGATAAGTTCGGTGTGTAGATTCACAGTAGTTTATCTACATACATAAGATATTATGTTATGAATTGTGGCTTTTGTGAATGAATCTATTTTATTATGAACTTTATTGTTTTATACCGTAAACTTGGGATCTCATTAAATGTCATTGTTTTACTTCAAAATTATATATATATATATATATATATTATTTTATAAATTGTAACTCACCTGTTTTCATGATTTCTAAACCTTGTTTGGGTTTGAGAAGGTTTTTCTACTGGGTTTTATTGCTCACCCTACCATAACATTTTTCAGATTTTAGTGTTGAGGAGATCTAGAGTTAGATGAGCCGGTAGATTGGAATGCTAAGGGGGATCATGATGTGGATTTAGCTGTGGAAGTTTGAGAATGAATTTAATTCTCTAGAGTTTATATTTGATGGTTTACTTATGTTAAGAATTTATTTATGTTTTCTTTGGATATTTGTCTAAGCAGATGTTAGATTGTGAATGATTTTATTTATTTAATTGTAACTTAGTATGCTCTCATGGTTGGATGTCGTATAGATAGTTAATGCCTTCCAGGGTGGATTTTGGGGCATTACAATACCACATCAACATGGTAGACATGATGAATTACTCATCTTGACAGCAATATATGAATAATTCCTCTCTCTACAACAGATCCAAGGTTTGGTATAGCTTGCTTGGGGAAAGTAAGCACGGCTTATGAGAATGATCAAGATTTGATGATCCACTTCTATGGATTTCTTGCAAAGTGAGATCTCTCTCTCTCTCTCTCTCACACACACACACGGAAGATATGTTGATTCAAGTGTCAGACACTACATTCTTTTTTATGAGTGATTTGCGTGCTTGACAACATTAATTTACTCCATTCTCACAATCTCTTATGACAAAAAGACAGGACCTATTTTTCGAGACTCCCGTTACTACATAGCTAGATAGGTAAGAAGTTGGAAATGATCTATAATAAAACAAAACGTCCTATTTAAGCACCTAACTTAGAAAAACACAACAATGACTCAAATCGTTTAAATTTTTAACCATAGTAACTCTTTCTATTTACATTTAACCTTTTAACCACATGAAATATTTTAATCACTCCCTTATATTTTAACCACGACAAACCTTTTAACCACTCACTTACGTTTTAACTTTTAACCACACTAAAAAAACGTTTTTTGCACGGCATCACCCTAGTTATCATATATTTCTCACAATTTAATATCTTTTATACAACTCAACTCAAAAAAGCATTGTCCCAATAATTTTTGGAGTTGGCTAATTTAATGTCCTTCATATGTTCCTTTATTTTTTTTTTGAGCAAGTTTTTTGATATATTTGTTTACCTTCCTGTTGTTTCTTTGTGAACAATCCGTTTTCAATGTAATTTGGCAACCTCTGTTTGTCTAGGCCACGGATGGACTTTTTGAATACGATTTATATTTATTTGATTGGTTTCTTTTTACTATAACTTCAACGGTAATAGCAGATTCTGGGATCATATTTTGTGTAGAGGAATTGCTTATTGTCCCATTTTTAAAAAATGACAGGGAGGAGATGGCTTGTGAGGAAGCTGAGCTTGGACCAGAAAAATTTGCTGAAAGACTGCATATGCAAGAAAAGTTACAAGAACAGGTAGAGCTTATTTAGTTTTTATTGAAGGAATTTGTTGGAGAACTGGTAAAATTCTGATGTTAGGGTTGACCTTTTTGCAGCAACTAGAGATGCTTAAGTACATGCGCAACTTTCACCTGGATGACCAGTCCACAATCCTCGACATGGTACCTGTCTACTTCTGCTTTACTTCACATTGCATAGCTATTTGGATGTTGCCATGCTGGACGTGGAGATTGGATCTTAGTTTTGCTTTGTCCTTAATGGTTATGCTCTATAATTTAGTTGAAATGAAAAAATAAATAATAGAATATACGTATGCTAATTAATTCCTTTGCTTGGTTTTGGAACCAAAACCCGATTACAATGCCGTCACACTGGTTAAAAGGTTATTTCCGGTTTCATGATTTAAGAACCTGGCAAAATTTATTTGGCATGTTCATCATTTAACATGCAGCTTGTCCAGCTATGTGGTAGTCCTACCTAAGAAATTTTCACCTTCATGGGAAATTCTATGTAGACACATGTTGCATGCTCAGGTTGGTTCCTTTGGACTATGGGACCTTGGGTCATGACAGGGCATAAGAGGGTGCCTTTACAGCAGCATTTTCTTTTATTTTTTGGTTTTCTCTTGTACAGTTATTTCAAGACCTTTTGAAATTTTTTTGACCTTTGGACTCCTCTCACATGCACATGCACACACATATAGGGACGGAACCAGAATTTTACCATTAGGGGGCCAAACCACATGCATAGAAACTCATATATACAACTTGAACTATATTTGTATTGTTGTATTCAAATTTTTAATGTATAAAAATATATCAAAAACCATTGAATATTCAATATAAACAAAGATAGCTACAAAAAATAAAATGAACAAAATAAAAAACTTTGTATTATATGTCCCCTTGATCGTCAATCTAAGTGGAACTTGATGTTCCCTTTTATCATGGAATTCATCAACGATTGAACCTGTACTGAATTGTTTAGCAACCTCTTTTCTATGTACAAAATTAAAGAGAGTGAGAAAATTATACTCCATCTATTATGAAGCCTAATTTTGACAACATTCATGGCTGCGAAAGCACGTTCCACCAGAAGAGTAATCACTAGTCTTACCAATCTAGGGGAAATGGTTGCCTTTTTGTTCTTCAATTGCACAGCCAACTGGTTGGCTTTTGAGGCTCCTTTGATTTCTATGATTTCCAACGTGCAAACTCTGTCTGTTCTAGAAGACCTTGTATTCTAATTAGCTTAGGACTCTTGAGTTACTTTATTGGGATTTAGATGTATTTAGGGTCCGGAGAAGTATTTTTTGTTGTCCATGCACATACACTCGCACAAAAGCACGCGTGGATGTGTCCACACACATATCTCTATACATATATGCTAGTAACTAGGTCTTGCTTTTTTTTTTTGTACAGTTGCATCAACAAATAGAGAAAGCCAATTTTGACAGTGAGGCTTCTGTTTTGTCAGTGGAACAGATCCAAGATATTGTAAGGAGAAAGGTTTCACCTGTATTTAGGTCAAGGTAGCTGGGTTTCATAATTATCAGCCCCCTAATCTTGTGTTATCCAGTTCTCTCTCATAAGTTTCCCAGAAAGTTGTAGTATTGTAATTTTGCAAAGTACAGCATGAATTGCAATCTATTGCTATCTTTAAGTTTCTAACAAGTGTGGTTTCTACATGCAAGGCACCCATAGCTAGTGCCATTCTCTGATTGTGCTGTAAAATAAGTTCTTCGCTTGTGAAGTCTTACGACTTCAGTATATCAGAAGAGGGCCACGAAATCCTATTTGTCTTGCGAAATCTTGGGCCTTGCATCAGCGCTGGCCCTTGGCCTAGGCCACTTAGATGGCTGCTGTTTAGGGCTCCCTAATTTTACAAAATTTCGTTGGATGAATTGAACCCAAAAAGGCCTAATTATATCATAAAACCCAAACTAAGAAAGTGAAAGTAAGAGGTTGTATAACTGGACATAGTGGCCCATAGGAAATATTTGGCCCAACGATAGACCTATGTTTGTTGGTTTTGTAGCTGTTAATAGTGTTGGCCAACGAATGATGCATAGACTCATAGGGGCCTGCATTGTTTTGTCAGTCTTTCCCTGCCAGTCCTTTTCAAATCCACACCTCTCTCTGCAGGAGATGAGTCGACGATTTTTTAAGTATGAAAATTTGTTTATCAATGGACGTTGAAATCTGTTTTATAGTTTAATTATTTCATACTTAAAGACACATGTTGAGATGGCCGAGTTGGTCTAAGGCGCCAGATTAAGGTTCTGGTCCGAAAGGGCGTGGGTTCAAATCCCACTCTCAACATTGCTTTGTTTTTCCTGTTATTCAGTTGATTTCTTGATTGGACGAATTCATCTATTGTGCATAATATTCCAGAAAGCAATCTTTCTTATTATTATCTTTCAACAAAACATCTATATTGTGTGTTTTGCACGAAGCTTAACGACCCTATCAAGTCATACATAGTCCTTTCACAAAATTTATTTAGTTTTTTGGATTAAGCGAAGAACTTCATTTATTTATCAAATCCTTGACAGATCAGATATATATCTAAATGCAGGACTTGACTACGGTATCGTTAAAAATTTCAGTATCATATCTCTGGCACTGGCAAGCAGAGGGCCAATCCTCTAGTCAATACTAATAAACCCAACCCCGTGGAAATAAGAAACAGCCCTCATATTAGAACTCGCCCAAACACCACAGCTCTCACCTCCTATGCGTCCACATGAAAGTTCCACTATGCATCCCATTCCTTGAAAAAATATTCATTACAACGGTGTATCACCAATACTTATGTGATATTACCAACTAATAATATCAAAATAAATAAACCCCACAAAATTAATAATCAACGCTCTATATAAACAAAAAACTATCCACTCTTCATCCGTACAAGACAATAAATTTCCAAATAAAATTCACCTTGCCCACTTGATATTTTATTATTAATTAGTAATACCATGTCAACATTGCTAACATGATATCACTATGGAAGGCAGGAAGGAATTTACACGCTTGCTTTGATCACCACTCTAAAAACAAACTTCACCAGTTATTCAACGCAAAGTGAAGTAATTGCCTAAACGAGCTGTCACATGAATGAAAGATCCAACCAACTTACAGCATCATGAGTAGAAAAAAGTCGAATAGTTTACGAAAATGCAAACTCAACTTTCCAAAGCTTTAAAAGTCATAGGTCTAATTCAACAAATATCTTTGCCATTTGGTGATCTGTCTGTCAAAAAGGATCCTACAATACAAGATAGTTTTTCTCTCTGCATTTTGCACCTCATTGACAACCCTAAGTTTCTTGCCCTCTTCTCATCCTAACCTGCAGTTAAAACATTAATTAGTCAACAGCAGCAAGTGAGCACCAATAAGTTTTAGCCCACAACACACAATACTCCAATAGTTATAATGAGAAAATAATGCACTAAATACAGAAAACGAGTAATGTTTCAAGCCCGACATTCCGAGCATCATTCAATTGCTGATGCTCATCTACTGTAATGTCACCCATCCTCACTGTGTAATAAAACCAAAGTTGCCAGAAATAGAAGTACACGAGTGGAAATGATGCACTGAGAAAACCAATCAACGCCTTCCTTTTCAAACAGTGCAAAAAATATACAGGTCGAAATCATATCTAGTAGCGTCATAACTTATGTAACACTTCTTTCTTTCAGCGATGTAATGTGTAGATGCATAAAACTCTATTATTAATAAATGAGCAATCGGAAGACGAAGCCTAACAAGTAGCATGTCTAACACATACTAGCATGAGAACTCCCTTATCATCTCTTTCTGTGCATTCACATTTTGTGTGCGCGAAATGTGCCCTTACATGCTTGACAGACTTTGTCATGTCTACAATACTTTGTCCATCTCCGACTGACACAAAGTTAAACACAGATATGGAACTGGCCCCAGAAGTCATCTAAACACAAGCTATCACTCTTTTGAAAGCGTGGGGTTAAGACCAATTACTTATACTGATAAGTGATAACCATCACAACGATCCCTTCTTTTCAAATGTCAAATCAAATGAGACGTGCTACTCAACTTCCTATCAACAAATAAAAATTGTCCCTGTGGCATTGGAAGGTCAAATAGCTAGAACACCACTCTCCTTAATGAAAAAGAAAGAAGATCAGCAAATAAGCATACACCATAGCACAAGCAACACATATTTAATGTTTTATGATTCAACAACAATCTTCTCTCCCTGTGGTTAGCCAAGACGAAGACTAGTCAATTTAAAACGGCTACAACTATGTTACACACCTCGTAGAAAAAAAAATCATACAAATAAAAAGAGGCAGCAGAGAGAGAGAGAGAGCAGAAATATTGTGTTCATACAGAAATTAACACCATTTTAAGGCTAACGAAACAGGAGAGCAGAATAATGAGCATACCGTAATTTTCAACTTTGAAGAGGAATGACAAACTTTATATCTTGCAATTTGTCTATGTATATTGTAACAACATTTTACACATCAAGAATTCCATGTTTTCCCCAAAATAATTAATATGATTAAATTCCCTTTTAGAGTTCAATACAGTTTGAATTTCTTTTCTTTTTTTTTTTTTTTTTTTTTTTTGGGGGGGGGGGGGTGGTTGTGTGCAAAAGTTCAACATTTCACCAAAAAATTCAGCATACTAATAGAGACATCTTATAGGCCACAAAAGCATATTGATTCGTTCATGCTGCATAGCAGATTAGAAAAGAAAAGAAATATCCTCGTTTGAACATAATGCGCAAAAGCCTTGTATCAGTTAAGAAAAATGCAAACGTTTGAACACACCCCACAAGCTGCACATGTTCATGTTATTGCATGGACCGTACTGGGGACTATGCACTGATTGGTTGCACACTCACCCAAACCAACTTCTTGAAGCATTGCAATTCACCGGAATAATAAAAGCAGATATACAATTCTAAAAGCTATTCAATCGAAAAAAAACTTTCAATATACACTTAAGTGCACATTTTTCTTCCAAAAACAATGTCAAAATCCAACATAGTATTGCCTCAACCCCCAACTAACTACTTCCTTCATTAGGTTTTCCCAACAATCATGCAATATTAGCTAACAGCCGTAGACAGCACTAAATTAACTCCACCTTTGTTTCTATGCCTCTCATTTTCAGATGTATCAGCTGTAAATGTTACATTTAATCTGCATCATTGCTACATATATGGATCAAAATGAAGCATATCTAATCAGAGACATCGGGAAACAGCATTTTGCAACAGAAGCACACAGATCTCAACATAACCATGAAACTTTGTAAACCAGTACCAAGGGAAAAATCGAACAAAGCATTCCTCACAGTCTATAGAATTCCTAACGGCATCAATTGCGTGCTCATTTGGCTTGTTTCTCTTTTTTTTTTCTTTATGTTGGGTCAAAACAAGATCGACCATACCAAACATATGGCATGCACCACCACAGACCTCAGGAAAAAGCAACCAAAATACCTGATAAAGCAAATACGTAAACGCAGTTTTAAAGAACCACACCTTTAAGCAGATCCGACGATGATGTTGTTGATAGGGATGAAGATCAGCTTGACGAAGAACCCCACAAATCCCATCACAACGAATCCGATCGCCGTACGAAATGCCACCTTCGTGAATTCTGCACGAACACGCATCAGCACATTCCATCCGAGTTCTCAACGACCAGAGTCATAACCGGGGTAATTAACTATGAGTTCATAGGAATTGCAATCGAAGAGTGTTGTACGATCTAAACCCTAAGATCAGAAAGAGATGAGAGGTGTTACCTTTGCGATCGGGTTTGTGGCACCTCTTAACAAGACGGACGCTGTCCTTAGCGAACTCTCTCAATGGATCGAAGACGTTGTCCAAGGCGTCCATTTCTCGAATGTATTCTATTCTAGAGAGAGAGAGAGAGAGAGAGACCCTAGCCAAGATAGAAGAATTAGATTAAGCAATTCGCGTGAAGTGAAACAGATTTATCCACCGCCACGCCACCCTCCTAACCTTGTGTGTTAACTCACTGCAAGTGGAATATTTATTTTTTGTGAACTTTCAGACTGAAATGCCCCTACTACCACGACAAAACGTTTGGATAATTCAGTCCATTCCTTTCAAGCTCCAACCAACCAACAGCCATCACGGCGTCGTTTGGTAAAAATAATAGAGGGGCTGACTGGAATGGATAATTGCCGCTACGTTAAGTAGTTGACCGCACGGGTAAAATTGGTGAAGCTGTGTGTGACCCAGGTTTTGGCATCTCTAATTAGAATGGACAATCATCACAAGAAAATAATATGACAACAAATGAAATGGACTGTAACTGTTCATGCATAGTTTGAAATTTAACTAACTTTTTTCATCAATCAACTCAACTTAAATTTCTTGATCAAAAAATAAAATAAAAAACTTTTAACTTAAATTTGAATTCAAAATTTGAAGCACATGATAATGCAGTTGATTCCAAAACAGGCCTAAATTCCTCCCAATGAAAAATAGAAAAGAAAAAACTGATAGCTCAGCAAAAGATAATATTCTTATCTTATACACCAGTGTTAGGCCTCTCCAAACAACCTTTTTCAAAGTTGGCTGTGGACAACATTGATGGTTACTGCTCGGTGTCTGAAAAACTGCAATAATCCAAGGTAGAAGACACGCATAAAGCCAGCTTAGCTGAATGATCTTCTTCTATTCTACCAGGACAACTTTTGAAGGTTCCAAAGCCGTTTATGTCTCTGTTCCTGCAGGTGCAAACTATGGCCTTCTTTCCCGCTGAACAGCTCGAGGGACAAATGTAAAACCACGACCGTGGCGTCGCCCAAAGCTGATGGATGAAGGAGAGGAATCTGACGTGCTTAATTTAGAGACGGCTGAAACAAGGTCATCCATAGTTGCCTCTTCTACTTGCATTGCACTTGAAGCCTCCTCTGCCTTGTGAAGTGCTTGTTTACGTTGATTCTTCTGTCTCTGTTTCTTCGACGGAAGGACCTTCTTGAAGAACTCAAATGATGCAGGAAATTTATGTCTGTCCAATAGATGCTGTTGCCGACTTTTATAGCTCTTAAACTTCATGCCACAGCCTTCAACGAGGCATTCATACTGTTCCACCACTCAAAATGGATGTAAAAACTAATTATATCTTAAAGGAAAATGCACCAAGAAGCAGCTAAAAGGTCGTACATAGTGCATAAGGTTCTTAACTGTAACAGGTAGTACATAGTACATAGACTCAAACAATTGAATTCAAGCATAAAAAAATCAATATTCAGACAAATTGATGAATAGCAATTACCATAGCAAAGCCACGAGCTACTTTTGCCTGAAAGAAAGAATCATGGGCTTCAGACACATGTATGCTGAGCAGGCGCGACGTAGGGTAAACTCTTGAGCATACTGAACAAGATGCAGTGTGCCTTGCATTGTAGTGATCTTCAAAATCCTCCACAGAAGACAAACACGCACCACAACCAACAATTGGACAAAACAGTTCCCTGGTAAACATTAGTTCCAATGGAAGTTAGAATTATTGTAAGAATCCACAATACAATAATAAAGCCAAAAAACGTAAAAAGGACTTATAATTGACCCACCAACATACTAAATGAAATTAATACCAAAAAACAAATGGTAAAAAGGTGACACAACTCAAAATGCAATTTCTGGCTTCTTAAACATCATAACCAGAAACCACAATATTCTTTTCCCCTATGCCAAAAAATCTCATTTTGTAAAGGGTAATCCTTTTTGTCTCTACCATCATTTTATGATTCCATGAACTTCTTCCAGAAGTGGAAAATAACTGCATGCAGTTACTCACAAAGTAGGGCAAAAAAAGATAAAATTTCTACACTACTAATACCTGCTTTCCTCGTCTTCCAAACTTCGAACCTGCTGCTTTTCATCCGCGCTTAAATCCAAGGCAACCTAAAAAATTTAAGGGAATAGAAAAACGTTAAGAACCATCAAACTTGTTTTCCTTTGGCAGAGGAGAAAAATCGGACATAAATCTAGAAATATCATCAACTATGATTATCTAACTGGTCAAGTACAGTTGGTAACTTGGTATAGTTGAAGCGCAATCAAAATATGATGTTTGGGGATGGAATTTGTGACGTCAACATATAGGGTTTCTCGTCTTTCTAATTTCTTCTCTAGCAGAGTGTGAAAGATTGCCCTTTGATTTGCCAAAAGCAGAAGAAGAATTAGCAGGTTATCAAACCAAATATTTAGGTATCAAATTTGGTTTATTTTACGTTGCTTCATATCTGTAATGGAGAAAGTACAGCTGATTGGATTCAGCCTATTCTTGAAATAAACAAACCGCCCACACTCCCTTTCTAACAAAGATTAATACACCAAGTACACTTAGATTTATTGAATTTGTTGATAAAATATCGGTATTAAACTCGAAACTCCCAGCGGATGGCCAATGGCCCAAAGAAATGAAAGAATTGGTTATAGTTAGATTTTTCGTATGCTCTCCTGTTATAGTTATAGATAGACTAAAAGAACAAAGTTCTTTTTGTATCGCTTTGCCCCTTTTTTATAGATTTTCCTAAATCTAAATAGAATCAAAAATATATTCCATTTAGAAATTGTCAACTACTACAATACTTTCTAAAAAAGGGAGTTGCACTAGGACTACGATCCGAAGGGCTTCGATGAAAGCAAGTAGGTATGCTAATTTCTCATCCGCAAATCAACCCTTCCCATGAGTTATTTCTCAACGAATAAGTAAATTGTACAAGTGAAATCTTGATAGAATTCGAAAAACCAAATAACAAGTCAAAAGCATTAAAATATGAAAAATATATAGTTCCTTACTTCCTTACATTATAAAAAGAACTTCAGTTTATAAAGATGCAAATATTTAACTAGAATATAATCTAAAAAGAGATCCAAGGTATCATTTTAGTAGCTTTCAGTTCCCACCCCAAAAAAAGGTTAAGAAAATAAAAAAGTTAAAAAAAAATTCCTTTTCTAAAAGCAATTAAACACATTTCCTATTTTCTTTTACGAAAGGTTTCCCTTATGCCCCCAAAGCCTAATCGCGTGTATAGTACTACATAAGTGTGCTAATTACGTATCAAGAATTCAAGATACACAATACTTTTGAAATATAGTTATCAAACACGCTTACCATATTTATGTTTTGTTTTTAGCAAAAAGCGATAAAAATCTAAAATAGACCTTTTAATTACTATTAGTGCTTTTAAAAACAATATCAACACGTGCCTAGAAGTGTAGGCAGTCTATCTATGGTCAAGTGACAGGGGAAATAACATAATAGTTCCTCATAAAGAGGTTTTTGTGTACCATTCTCAAGTAATTGAACAAAGAGTCTATAGAATGTCAATAGGAGAGTAATGATGATAACATAAACCCTAAAGTGAAATTGCTAACCTAGGCAGTTCATGGATCAAGAATTAGGTGGACGCCGTATAGGTGGAGCAAAACTACTCTCCATAAGTTTCTGGTGAGTATGGCACTGAATCAAATTCAGAATTTAATGTTAACGTGGAAGGCGCAGAACTAGCTTGGTGGCAGGGAATCTGAAGGGTCAGCCTACAAAAGAACACGGATGAGAAAAACTACTGGGAAAAAATCAGTTTCACTAAAAAAAAGCCAAATGATTAAGCTTTCATAAGTTAAACACCAACAGGGCACCTTATTTAAAAAGTCCCGTCCTATAGATAGAGTGTTGACACTTTAGTTTGATTGAAAAGGTTCGTCCAACAAGCATGTTCAAACCAAATAATGCCCATTTTCACTCGTAGTTAAAAAAACCATAGATCATCAGAATACTCTAGGTGAGAGAAATAATCCAGAGTCATGAGGGACAAACAAGATGCTATTAGAACGTCGATTCATAATATTGGTGCTTCCTACAAACTTTGGATGTGCGCCCAACTAGTTGTTTTCCATTTTACTTTGCACCCTGTCTGAAGTAACCTAAATATTAAAAAATATCCATTTGATTGAGATTATGTTGGTTTTAAAAACCAGATAGGCAACAGATAAAGATTGCAACGTCGAGAGTCATTATGAAATTCCAATTATAGCTATATGGATCGAAAACACATCTAATTGAGAAGTTGAATGATCACAACAGAGTCAGAAGATAAGGAATATATTAGATAGATCACACACAGGTACATGTAGAGACATTTAAAACGAAAAGGAAATGAGAAAAAAGAAGAAGAAACCTGTTTGGCGAGAAGTTCTCTTTCGATATTGCCAGATGCGAAGAAGGGAGCGTCGGGATCGAACCGCCGGAGAGCAGGACTCCAGTATGGAAACCCTAATTGCGCGTCCTTCTGTATAACCATCGTCATAGCTTTCCGTTTCCTTCACTCCAGGAGTGAGACGCTCTGGGATGGTTTGAATTTGATAGGAGAGAAAACGGGGAAAGAAGCTTCTGGTGTGTAGTTGGGCTTGTAGTATTTGAGATTGGGCCATGAGCCATGGACCATTCAAGCCCACCACAGGCTCCTCAAAGATCGAAAGCCCCTTCCCTTGTCTGTTCTAGCCTCTCCTCCTTGCTTGCTTATCTCTTATTTTAGTACTGGCAATTGTCCGTACATGAAAATATGAAATTACTCGTAAATTAAATATAAATATTTGATTATACATAAATATAAAGTAAAATATAATATTATAATAAACGACAAACAAAATGAGTCCGCTAATATTTTTTTATAACATCAACCTACATGCACAACATATATTTTCATATTAAATTGTTACCCCACGAAATTATATTACAACTACTGAAACATAATAATTCAAATATCTGAAAAATTATATTAGTTGACAATATTTAATGTTTTATTTTTGATTCAAAATTCACGATTTTAACGTTCATAATCAACTTTATTTAAATAATAAAAGAATTCATAATTAATAGAATGAAAATTATAAGAATACTCCCACAAATAAACTAAGTTTGTAGATGTTGTCTAATGATCAAATATAACTATCAGAAATTCAACTGATTTCCAAAAGATATGACCTGACTATTGAATTTGTATGATTCGAATTTATAATAGTGTTTTTAATTTTATATTATTCTTCTCCGTTATTTATATTCTTAGTATATTTTCTTAAACTAAACGTTATTTAGTATTGGATTATTCAATAAAGATTGTTATTTCGTATTGTTCATTAAATATTAAATTTGTATAATTCGTGTTCATAGTATTACTTATAATTTTGTATCGTTTCTTTTGTTTATAATTTTGTATCATTTTTTTTGGATATTTAGATTTAAATTATTTAGTAAATATTGTTACTTGTGCTGTTCACTAATATTGAATTTTGTATGATTCGTGTTTGTATATGAATTTAATCTTGTATATTTTAAATGTTAAGCATATTTTCTTTCATATATCTCTTGAAATCTGAGTTATCCAATAATTTAAATTTAATCTTTTATATTTTACATGTTAAGCACATTTTATTTGTTAGATTAGATTTTTTGTAAGTTATGTTTTTATTTTTTTTATTGATTATGGAAAAAATAAAATTGATTATTGAATTTGTATGATTTGAGATTATAGTAATGCTTTTAATTTCATGTCATTTTTTTTGAATTATTAATACTCTTCGTATATTTTCTTAAACTAAACTTTATTTAGTATAAGAGTATTTAATAAAGATTGTTGTTTCGTATTGTTCACCAAATATTGAATTTGTATAATTCGTGTTCATAGTATTGCTTATAATTTTGTATCAGTTTTCTTGCTTGTAATTTGTATCATTTTTTTCGGGTATTTAGATTTGGATTATTTAATAAATATTGTTTCTTTGTATTATTCACTAAATACTGAATTTGTATGATTCGTATTCGTATTTGTATATGAATTTAATCATATATATTTTAAATGTTCAGCATATTTTCTTTAATATATTTTTTAATATCTGAGTTACTCAATAACTTGAATTTAATCTTGTATATTTTACATGTTAAGCATATTTTATTTGTTAAATTAAATTTTTTTGCAAGTTATGGTTTTTTTTATTGATTATGGAAAATATAAAATTGACTATTAAATTTGTATGATTCGTATTTGCAGTATTGCTTGAATGAAAGAGAGAGATACAGAAAAATATTTTTTGTGATATATATTATATAATATTTATTACATAATTTTTCTTCAGAGATAGATACAGAGGAATATTTTCATAATGTACTATCTCTCTCTGTGATATATACTATCTATCTACAGAGAATAATATTTGCTTGAATTATGCACTATCTAATATTTCGTGAGATATAAAAAGAGAAATAGAGGAAAATATTGTGAAAAATTGATATTTTTTGCGTGAATTGAGCGTGAGAGATAAATAAAGAGAAATGAGAGAGAGATATTTGATAGATTTAAAGAAAATATTTGAGGGAATTGAAGTTTGGAATATCAATTTTGGAAACTATAAATTTTGAGTAACAAAAATATTTGAAAAGAGTTAATGTGGTATATCGAATCAAAACGATCTGGGACGTCAATAGCTCGAGACAGTTTTGAATAACATCGTTCATTAGATGATACTTTTTTTTTTTGTCACAAAACGATTTAAACCACTCTTTGTCTCTAAAATTTAATTTGTTATACTTTATTATATAGATAGATTTTTTATTAGTCAATTAATTGGATCCATCACAAGTCGATCATGGCTAGAGAAAGATTCTATAACATGGATGTCCTTTCAATTTTGAGACGAGCTTACATTTGAGATTTCTAATATATACAATTTTATGTCTAATTGTTACAAACTTCTTGATATTTATATAATATGTTTAACTAAATGTTACAATTCAAACTCTCATACTAAATTCCTTGAAGATTAGAATTCTCATCTTAATGATGTACACAAATACAAACATCATAATTACTAGGATAATGATACTACCATATTGAATATCAGTCAATCAATCAAAAAGTTTAAATTAATAGTAATGTATATAACCACATACCAGTTCTACAATATATATCAACAATATGTTGACTAATTACTTTTTCATATACCCTTTGGTAATATTTCAAAGTTAATTTTAAGGTGAATCCCATATACATATACACAAAATTAAAAATATATAGTGATTGTTCAGTAACGTTGGAGGCACTCTATCTCTTTTAATCCTTTATATACCTGCAATGATGAAATTAAACAAATAGTCAGCCAGGAAAAAAAAAATCAAAGAAAAGGCTCAGAAGCACTAGTGGTGCAACTTGGGTTGGGCACCCGATTTCAACCTAAAAAAATTAGGACTTGGACGAGGGTTTTTAATACTTTGGTTGAGCTTGTGTCGGGCTTGAGTCAAAAAATCACAGCCCGAATTTAATTTGGGTTGAGTTCGGGTTAAGGCCTTGGGTTCACGGGTTCAACCTGAACCCGACAAATTAAAAAAAAATTATATATATTATAATATTAGCATTGATTTTTCATTTTTGGTGTAAAAGCAAATGATCAATAATTGTGCACTGTTATGAATGAAATATATGAATTATGTTTTATGAATTTGTAATTATTCTCCCTTCTCTTTGTTTCTCTCGCAGTTGGTGGCAATAGTTTTTATGTTCTGATTATGATTTTTATGTTAAAAACTTGGTTGAAGTTATTTGTTGTTAATTTATGTGAATATTATGTAATATATGTACTAGGTTCAGAACAACAAGCCTATTTTGGGTTTTATTCAAACTCAACATAAATTGAACCTATAAAATAACCCGAATTCAACCCGAGTCCGCCCAAATTAAACTCGTGCAATGCTCGAGTTGAGTTTCTCATTCTGAGGTAGGGTTAGGGTTAAGATTAGAGTTAAAAATTATATACTTAGGATTGAACTAAGGGTCAACCCGCACCCCTGGGAAGCACGCCTCGCCTCGTGTGCTTGGCTAGATCTGTCTTCCCTTTGGTCAATAATTTATACGTTTCCTCAACTAAACAAGCAGAGGCTGTAGGGTGTGCGTTCATCAGATTCTGTTTATTGTTGCTTTCTGATTGATGCATGACTTGAAGCCCTCACATGTGACCTTTTCTACGATCGATTAAAAAAAAAGTACATGCCCATTGGCTGGCCGTTGATATAAACGTTAGAGATTAATTAATATGCCATTTTATATTTATATTTAACTAGACAAGCCACCAATAGATTAGGTAGCCAACATGTGTGAAAGACAGGCAAATTAAATTTATGTTTGTATTTAATTTGAGAATCTAATTCAATGCAGTAATTAAATTAAAAACGAATTTCATCTAATATTAAAACTCACAATTAATCTGAATTGAATTAGCTCCCCATATTAGTCCCTGTAACATTGTCCAGTTTTTAGACACTCATAAATCATGCACAACAAATCAACTAATACCTCTTTTGTATAAATCATTTGGAAGCTCAAGATAGATCTTTTCAATTAAATTATCCTAACAAGTTGATAAGCTTCTTTTCTCCCTTAGTGAATGGTGTGTGAATGATCAAGTGTATTGTATTGTATTGTTGTATTGATGATATAGGGTCTTAGTTGAATGGGTAAAGTCCTCCGTAATGGAGTGACATGTTGAAAGTTCAATTCTCATTTCTTATAGTGTAAAAAATCATTGACTATAAAAAAAATAATGTTTTTTTTTAAAATAAAATTGATGATCGAATTTCTTGCGTATTAACATTTGTGGACGATGTCAATTTTAACGTAAAGAAGGGGTTTTCTAGTCTCGATCCAAGTGGTGTAATGGTCGGTGATGAAATAAGTCCCGATGACAAGATTCCAAAACTCTTTCTTGTAAGTCTACCAAACCTAATAACTTCTTTCAACTTTATTTTAGTCCTGATATATTATTACTAGTCATAATTTGTGTCTAAACATACTGTGTAACTTAAAATTCGAGTGTCAAAAAAATCGATCATGCTATATCAAATAACAAATTCTTTCTTTCCCTTTCATAATTTAAAATTATTTTTTACCCATTACTTTTTCATATTAAAAAAAAATTGATTTTTTCTTTCAAAATACATGACCTCAAAAAAAAATATCAACATGTATAATCAGTATCGTATATGGACAATATTTCAAATAAAAAGTGTAGTTCCCACAAAATAAACAAAAATTAAATGATTCAACTTGTGATAGAAATGAGTGATGATAATAGAAATAGAAAAAAAAAAATATATATATATATATGTGTGTGTGTGTGTGTGAGAATAAAATTGAAAGCATTAGTTATCTTATGTAATAAGTTATTAACATGACTTGGATCGATGGTTTGACCTTTAGGAGCATCAAGATGCCATATAAGCCTATAATAAGTATGCCCCGTCTGGAACGTTGGGGTTGTTGAACAGCGTAGTTGTTTTTGTGTCGTTTTCATTTTCTCTGAATAACAATTTGAGGGAGGGGAGAAAGGTCTCAACTCAACTGTGTATGTATATTATTAATACACGTAAGTAAGAGCCTGAGCCCCCGCCCCCCCCAAATTCAATAATAATAAAGAAGTAAGTTGAATATTCAAATACCTATATGTATGAGCTAACCAAGTTTTTTATTTAATTGGGAACTGGGTTGTCCAACTAGACGTTAGATTAATAATTAATTAGATTGCTGATCTGTTCCACATGCAGTGTCAGCCGTCAGATCAGTCCAGGATTCATGTATGCCTTTGATGATGCATTAATTATTGAATTATAATAAATGTATTAAGGGAGGTGAACTTGAACCAGCCTGATCACAACGATTAGGACAGGAGGATACAAAACAATACGTGTGAATCATCAGTGGAGGTTAGGACCAAGTATAACGACCACATGTAACATATATATTGTTTGAAGTTTCTCCCTTTCTTCCTTATCTCATTTGTAGGCTATATATAAGATCAGCTGACGATGACCTACGACGGAGAGAGAGAGAGATAGAGGTGAAAAATTGTACAGCAAAAGAAGGGAATGGAGAGACAGAGAGGTTTGTATTTGCTGATGCTGATCATAATCATAGGCAGAGCAGAAGGGCAATTAGAGGAGAATTTCTACAGTTCAAGTTGTCCAAACGTGGAAAGCATTGTGCAGCAGGCTGTGTCAACCAAGTTTACCCAGACCTTCGTCACAATTCCGGCAACTCTTCGTCTCTTTTTCCATGACTGCTTCATTGAGGTACTATGATAACTAAACACTAACGTATGTTGCTGTATTTTCCTTATTAATATCTGCATGATTGAAAATACCTATGTTGGTTTTGGAAAATCCCAGTCCAATACACTAAGATCACTCTGCTTTCATTTGCAGGGATGTGATGCCTCAATTATGATAGCATCACCAAACGGGGATGCAGAAAAGGATGCTCCAGACAATGTTTCCCTCGCTGGAGATGGTTTTGACACTGTTGTCAAGGCAAAACAAGCAGTAGAGGCTCAATGCCCCGGGATAGTATCTTGTGCAGACATTATGGCTATCGCTGCCAGAGACGTAGTAGTCCTGGTAAAATATGAACACACACTATCCTCTGGTCTTTCAAACCCTCAGCAGTTGTTAAAAAAAAAAAATTATACTTAAAAGCAAAAACTCACGTTGCCTCTCTGCTTGCTGTGATGAATACTCTGTTCAGGCTGGAGGCCCGTCATTCAGCGTAGAACTGGGACGCCGTGATGGACTCATCTCTCAGGCTTCTCTGGTTGCCGGAAATCTGCCAGAACCCTTTTTTAATCTCAGTCAACTTAACACCATGTTCGCCAAGCATAATCTAACCCAGCTGGACATGATTGCACTGTCCGGGGCTCACACTGTTGGCTTTTCCCACTGCAACCGCTTTGCTAACCGCCTCTACTCATTCTCGCCGGCCAATCCTGTGGACCCTTCTCTGGATCCAAATTATGCTCAGCAGTTGATGCAAGCCTGCCCTCAAAATGTAGATCCCAGCATCGCTGTAAACATGGATCCTGTCACACCACGAATTTTCGACAATGTGTATTACCAGAATCTGGTAAATCGGAAGGGTATGTTCACTTCAGATGAGGTGCTTTTCACTGACGCAGCATCTCAGCCTACTGTTAACGATTTCGCTAACAACCCAGGTGACTTCAATGGAGCCTTCATCACTGCAATGAGGAAGCTTGGCAGGGTGGGGGTTAAAACTGGGAACCAAGGACAGATAAGGATAGATTGCACAGCCTTCAATTCATGAAGTCAAAGATTACAATAGCATTTGAGCACCAGAGAAAGATCTTACGAAATAATGTAAAGGAATTTCTCACAAGCATCCATTTTGTAGAGATAATTTGTTATCTGGTGTTTGCCTGTCCACTGTCTCTAACGCCACAATTTGGAAATCATTTTGTTCCCGAAAAGAAATTCAAAATGGGTGTAATAAGACATAATTTCTTTAAGTGTATTGTGTATTTTAGATGCGCATCAACTTCAAACTGGGAGTATTTGAGAATCTTTAGCCCCCACATAATAAAAAGGGATTGTTTTCATTTGGCTCTTTGCACGCACCTGTCTGATTGTGAAAGTTCTGCAATGCTTCCTACGAATTCATATCACCTATGATTACCAGTGTGCATTTGTTCTCTTCCTGTACATAGTCTGTATCCAGCACACAGTGCACATGGTAAACCCGTAGGTACTCGTATTTTGGGAAAACCCCAATGGTTTTGGGCCTTTTGGCCATACAGGATCACAGTGGCCTTCTCCATTCAAAAGTGAATATTATTAGACCACAATGACTACACTGAAAACATGAAATCTGAGACTAACAAAACGAATAATTGGGAATAAACAAGAACCATTCCCTTGTAAACTGGTCCAGTGAACTGACTTCCATGATCACAGACCTTCATTCCAACAAACCATAAGATTTAACTAGATTCAACAATGCCTAGTCAATCCAAGAAAATTTCAAATTTCAAGGTCAATAGGAGTAAAAAATATGCAGCACTCAATGTCCAAAGCAAACATTACATTGCTCAATCATGAGGAAACACCAATCTATGAAACGACAAAACGGTAATACCTAGATTATGTCTAGTTCTCACCCTCCAGATGAGTGCTCTGGAAAGTGCTTGTATTTGTCATCCAGAGGTTGGAAACACAGCAATTCTTATCAGTTTCACGTTGTATACAATCATCTCTGGTTTGAGTGATTGAATTCTAGAAACCCAAATTCTTTCTGTTCCCACTGGTCAAGTAAGAGATTTTCCATAGAGGTGAGTATAAACAATCCTAGTCCGGTATACAAGAATCATGCTTAAAACAACCGCAATGATGCAGAGTCCGGACATTATCATGCAAGTAAGGAAGAAGCATATAGCACCTTCACACTTGAGTGGTTCATCCAACTTAAGAATGCCAGAAAAAATTGCTTTTAAGTTTTGTTGATGGAGATGGGAATGGTGCTGTAGTGCTTGCTTCTCAGCTTCCCTGTCATATATACTGCTAGCAATAATACCTGAGAAGATAAGTGAACCTGCAGGGTTTGCTAATGTGAGAAAATTGTATAAAGCTCCGAACTTCTTTAGTCCGAATAATTCAGAGGCAGTAGCTGGAACAATGGCCCAGTGAGACCCATAACCAAGCCCAACCAAGAGAGTCCCAATGTACATTGCTCCAGGCCAACCCATAGCAAAGAAGAAATGCCCAATAGCCATTATGAATTGGGCGACAGCCATGGCTACTGGCCTTGGATATGCGTAGTCCCTATTCAGCAACATGGCCAGTTCAGGTGAGAAAAAACAAGCATAAACTAAGACCAAAATAAAGCATCCAGGAGAATACGAATAAAATTTGTACCTGACTATCAACTCGGAGAAGTAACCACCACCAACCCGGCCAAGAAAGTTCCAAATGCTGATCATGGAAACAAATACATGTGTATTATCATACCCCAAAGACTGGCTCATCTGACCCAAGTTATCAATCACGGTCAAACCGGATCCAGAACCCAACAGAAGGGAGAAAAAGATAAGCCAGAAATCTGCCTTTATCAAAGCTTGCATCAATGTGAAGTCTTCCCCTCTATGAGGCCCCCTTCTCCTCCTGATCCTCACTGCTCCTTCTGCAGCTGCTTGGGCTAGTTTTGCTTGAAGTTGTGCAATTCTTTTTTGCCTCTCTGAAGCTGGAAGCAAGTCTACTTCCCTTGGCTTCTCATCTTCCACCTCACTAAATATAATCTCATGTTCATCACTTCCAGATTTGCCAGGTTCTTGTTTCTGTGGATCAGCTAAAAGTGCCTCTTCTGCTGGATCTCTTGGCTCGGGGAAAAAAGTCAACCAGATGGGAATAATAATGGGGATTAATAAAAGAATCAGTAAAATCACTGTGAAAATTATGATCACACTGTGGCTCACATCAATACTATCTTCAACAAGCATGACCCCCATCAGATAAGCAGCCAGAAGAAGACACACACTATAGATAAATGAAAAACTCAACCCATCAGACGACCTGACTTGCCTGTGACCTCCAACAGGCCTGATAATGAACATAAAAGTAATAACCACCATCGCTGGCCCCACTGCAACCATGAATATGAGTGAAGCCTGATCGGGGCTATTGATCACAGCATATATCTGAGTCAGAATTGCACCCCCCAACCCCGCAAAGCCCTTCAGTATTCCCACCACAGGACCCCGGCTTTTGGGGAAGTTTTGAACGCATGAGACTAGTGCTGCCGTATTTAAGTAGGTCTCACCATTGGTTCCCACGAATATAAGAATGCACATCTGTGTCAGGATATTTTGACAACTTAACACAGGTAATGTGACATAAAAAATTAAATGTCTGCTAGGTTATATTCGATTAAAAGCACAAAAACCTCAGAACCTTAGCATTGTTCTGAGTTCATCATGAAATTGAGCTACAAATTAATCAAGGAAAATGGGTAGTATTCTTCTAGCCAATAATCAAGAACTAGTGCCTTACGTTAAAAATTACTGATTTTGAAGATTAATAACTCACCGCAATCAAACAGAAGAAGATCAACCAAACTGAAATGGTTTTCTGGTTCATGACTGGGTAAATCTGTCAAAAGAACAACTACTCTAACATTTACACACACACTTAATAAAATAAAAAAAGCCAGCATGATCAATATTTTGACGTGAGTTAGGGTAAGTCGAACCCCCCGCAAGTCATAAGAATTTTGTTGTTCTTAGAACACTCAAAAAGATTATAAATTTCAACCTATTATTGGTGTTGGCAAGTTGCAACTGGCAACCGAAAAGAAGAGCCAGGTTTAAGCAATAACCAAAATAATAATCTTCCTTACATTTGCCGCAAAATCCACAAGTTCCAGATCTAAGCTTTAACACAACAAAACATCGCTTTGTTGGCAAAGGTAGGAAGGAAAAAAAAAAGGCTCCAAGAAGAAAAAGACGAAAAAATGAGCCCTGAATAGAGAACTCATAGAGCAACTGCAATCTAAGAGCGGATAACAGAAGCGGTTGCAGTTGCCACTCTATCCATTCCCTTTTTGAATAATGCATCTAAGGGATTTATAGCATGCATAAACAAAACCCTTGCAAGAAGCTTACTAATGTGTATAAAGGATTATCACTTTGAAATGTCAACTCAATGCAGAGTTGTATAGAAACAGAACTCAGAACATAACTTGTTCAGAAGAAATATGCACGTGAACAATAGGTTACAATTATACTAATACTTTGAGAAATGAGGTGCAATTCAGGTAGCAATTCATTTGGTCCAAGCAAACATTTTATACGGTCAACAATGTCAAGTATCCACCAAGATTTAATCAATAATGGGCGAATAATGGAGGCACACAGCATACAATCTACTCAAGCAGAATCATCTCAGATATCAAAGAATACATAACTGTACACTTTCAAAATAAAATGCATCTAAATTTTTCCAGTTTCATTTTCGGACTGCAACACAATTTAAAGATTAGGACAAAACAGATAAAAATAGAAATCCCCTTGCATGCCTTGAACCAGTAATCCATCTTTGATTGTGTTACTTGTGTGTGTGTGTTTTTTTTGTGTGGGTATTTTTTTTTTTTTGGGGGGGGGGATGCGATGGACCTTCCCCAACGAACATACTATTAGAAAAAGGGAAAGGAAATGAAGGGCTTGAAGAAAATTAGATAAAGTGAATTGGAATACAGCAGATGAACAAATATCCATTTTTGACAATCAAAAGAAAACGTAAAAGCAAGATCGCTTCCCAATAAGGATGCGAATTAGAATAAAATGACTAATATTTTGCACGTTTCAAAGAGATTCTATTCAAAAAGCAGGGAATTACAAACATTCATGCGTGAGAACGACTGATCTTAGTTGCAAATAACCAATAAAGCTCCACGAATCACATTCACCTGGTTGAAATTGGCTGATTGAATTGAATCTCTCAGGATAATTTGTTTCAAATATTCATATAATATGATCCTCAAGAAGAAAAGGATAAGAAAAGCAACGCCCAGCAAGAATCTAGGATTGATATACTCACCGCCCACAATGGCAGAGTTGGAACTCGACCAGTAACGACGAGCCAAACCCAGCCATACCCAACAAAGTTCTGGATAGCACCAACAAGAAGAGCACCCCATAAAGGCAAGACCTCAGACAAACTACCAGCCAAGAAGCCAACACTGTCCCCAAGGTCCTTAGCCACCCCCAACCTCGCAATTTGCTTCTGATTGTAGTTCAAAGAGCTCTTTATCACCGGAGATATACTCCCAAAAAGGTACCCAATACCCGCACAAGATTGTATCCACATTGCGGCCACAAACACCAGCCATCGGTTGTTAATAAACAAACTAAGCCTCTCTCTCAAACGAATCATCTTGATTCTTGAGTCAATACGTACTCCCTGATTTTCTTGGTTTTTGTTCAAATGGCTTTTCTTTGAAGATCAAAGATGGTATTGCTTTGTCGTAATGACTTCTGTTTTTGCCTTTTTTTAAGCTGAATATAGCATAGAGGTCGGAGAGATAATACGATTGATGGTATACTATATTAGTATTTAGTATGGTATATTTTGTTAAAAATATTGGTTATGGGAAGAAACTAGAACACCCTGAAGTTTGAGGTAATTGTGAAAATGCCATTTTCCGCTGCTGAGCTAATATGCTTCTTGAGAATTGCAAGAACGGGACGTTGGGACCTTGGCGCCGCTCCGGGAGCTGTCCCACCAATCTTGGCCTTAGGACATATAGGACGTGTTTGGCACGTGCAAATGAAAGCCGCCTCCTCCAAACCCCCATTTCTCGATCATCCCAAATCCACTAGGGTTTCTATCACCGTTGACTGCTGCTTCTTTTTTCTTTTTTTTTTTCTCATTTTTTTTGTCAAATGAATTTTATTTGTCTTATTATTTATCAAGTTCAATTATTTTTCATTGAGAGACGACTCAATTCAATTGAACCTTATTATAAATGTACAGATAAATTCCTATAATATGTTGAGATAGTAATCCATTGAGTAATTCTAAATAACGAATCTGAAACAATCAAAAGATTAGGATAGAGGTTAGATGTGTACTCAGTTAATGCCCTCTGAAGACTCAAGTCAGTTGACATCATTATAATGCACAATATATTTTTCTTAAATTTGTATACCTTGGTTTAGCCTTGGTGAAGGATATTTATACCTGCGTTTACATTGATGACCCTATACTTGAGTCTCATCTTAGAGTTTAATGACATGTGCTCATCTTCCAGCATAATAAAAGTCATTCTATTAAGTCTCATTAAGACTAGTCCTCCCAGGCAAGTGGACCCTAGCTCGAGAACTGCCCAACATTCATGGCTAATTCTCGGTCATTCAAAACCTCATGTCGGCTCTTGGAATTTGCACCCGAGCTTTCATGAGGAGGGATAAAAATTCATCGGGCTGCCCTGAGGTTTTCATGTCAGCACGATGGTCATTAATGCCTTCTAATGATGGCTATCTCCACGTTCTTTGAGGATCTGAACACTCATTAATGATTGTGTTAAACCGTTCAAAACCCATATTAATAAGTTGTTAGATCTTATTTAATGCTAGGCTCAGAGAGGTATACGTAACCCTGTCTAACACAACTCCTCAGTGCCTCTCTCAAGCGCTTTTGCGCATTCTAATAGCTATAGCTGCTCACATATCCACTTTTTACTGGCAAGCCGCCTAATGTTTTGTTACTAACTATTTAAATATGATTACTTAAATTTTTGCTCGTTATTGTGTTAAATTTTGTGCAAATCGTAATCTGTAAGTTTATAGTTGCAGAACTTAGCTTATTAAGTCAAGTGCCCAAGACTCTTATTTTTTATTTTATGTTATAGGGTGTCTAAATTTGTATCGACTACTCTCTCAAAATCATCAGTTAATCACCTTGGCTTGAACTGGTGTAAAGTATGCCCCCCAAAGGACAAGGGAGACTACCCCATAGGGAGTATAAAAAATAATGTTATCAGAACCGGACAGGGCATTGAACTGGCAGAAGGATCGGGTCAATGGTTCATTGGTTTAACCGGTGATTCAATTGGTCGAACCGGTTATATAATAAAAAAATTATAAAATATAATAATTTAGCCAAAAAATACAAAATATGTTCACAATTCATACAATTTTTCATACCAATCATAAAATCTACCATCACAATAAAAATAAAATCCACAAAGTAATATTCTAAATTTCTAATTTGGAGATTTTATTCAATTTGGGGGTGTGATTGATAATTACTGACTTTTTAGGTGCACTGACTGCATTTATGTATATGTTGACTGTGTATACATTTTTTGAATAGGACTGTGTATACATTGACTCAGAGAGAGAAAGAGAAAAGGAGAAGAAGAGCAGTGTAGATTAATTTCGTCTAATATCAGTGTAACAGCCACTTTTTTCCAACAAAGGGGAAGACTGGCAGGCAGGCTGGCTAATAATCATGTTGTCCCGTAGCGGAAGAGCCACATGGTATTGAAAAGAACGTTAAAACTTGTTTTTAGGGACAGGGAATCTTAAAAACATGTTTTTTAGTGGAAAGCTAGTGCAAGTTATAGTCATCATCTTTCCCGATTTAACCTTTTCCAAATTATTTTGGCTATAGGGTGGGGTAGGTGGAGTGTTGTGTGTTTGTATTTTTTACACACAAATATGTTAACTGGGTCCTCCCTAACATTTTGTGTATTCTTTCATATGACCCTCCCTTTCTATTGAAATATAGTATTCACTAAATGACAAGTTGGAGAGAAAGTTGATGTCATGAGATTCAAATAGCATCCATCATTTAGAACTTGGCACATCATAGTCACATGACATCTTTTGAGAGAAATTTATCAAATAATTTTTAAAAAATTCAAATATGAGTATGATTGATAATTGACTCAAATAGAGAGGTGATAAAAAAAGATTAAAATATCTTGTTAAAAAATGTTTTCCCTCTTTTCTTAAATCATAATAAGAGGGCAGAGGGCTACGTACAATCCGGACAACATCCTATTCCTATTCCTATTCCTATCCTATGGTACAAAACTTTACTTTAAAATAAAAAAGGTGCATCACATGGAAAATGGGGGGTGCACTTGGGATAGATAGATTCCCTTGCGTTCTAATTACGGCAAAGATTTCCTGGCCCTGACTCTTTAGAGTCGGTGGTTAGGATTTGATCAAAAAAAAAATTACAGCAAAGACAACCAACAAGCAATAGGTATGTTTTAGGAGGTAAATCTTCTTGTTCCTCATTTTTTTGGGTCTTCATTCATCAGTAACAAATAATTACAGATACGAACTACAATCAAGAATTACAAAGGAATAAAACAATCTAGACATTTTGAGGCACATTCCAATATAGATATATTCATATTCAATATTAGGGAAAAGTTGAGCTATGACAAAAATAAAAGAATTTGAAAAAAGATGAATACGTAAACATATGATGTTTGGTTCAAAAGGAAAAATAGAATGAATACTAGCGAGACTTAAAACTGCTTAGCAATCTTCGAATCAATACGTGTAAAATTGTAGCCGTCATGAAGCTTAAAGGGTGCCGACGAGCCGAGCAGAGAGGTGACAACTCGGAAGAGCTGAGTGCTCAAACTGAATGTGCGAAGATCCTAGCATTGAATGTGCGAAGATCTGGGTGGAGAATATTCAAATCCTTGTAGGTAGAAGTGCCGAGCATTAAATGTTCAGATGAGATTTAAAGTCGTTGCACTCATTGCTAATTCAAGTATAAATACTTCATAAAAAAATGAACAAAGATACGCATCATTAAACCAAAATATTTGATACATTAAGCTCAAGTCTGTAATCTTATATTGACTATTGCAAAAAAACTTCCGTGCAAAAACAAAAAATGGACAATCCGAGGGGCCCATCAAAATTTCTTGCTTGAGAGGAAAAGTCAAGCCCATGACTTTGCCATTATCATTTAGTGCACGTAATTGTGAATAGTGGCTCTGAACTCCTGCACAAATATAGAGACTTTGAAGCAAATTGGTCAACTCTACGCACCATTGAAGATTTGAAGCAGTTGCTAGATTTGAAGTTTTTTTAAAGAAAATGAAAAATGTCGAACAAGTAAAGAACAGTCCTTTCAATTAAAATATAGTACACAGTACACATAGGGGTTAGGTTGGGTTGGGTTGGGTTGGGTTGGGTGAGTCTAAAAAATGTAGCCCATTGATTTTAGTATTTGTTCGTTTTTGGGCTATCATACTACTACTACTACTTGTCAATTTTCAAGCATAAAAATCCAAAACTACATATTGAATGAATAAATTATTTTTATAATCACATATAAGATATTATAATCCACATGTAGCTACTCCTATAGTCTTACTTCTACTCCTGATGACTGAATCGGATCAGACCATGGGTCAAGGTGTCTAGTAAATTGCCCTAATTTTTGTGGGATGGATCGATCGGAGATAGATTGACTATGGCCTTCCTTCCTGTATGAATAAAAAGAGCCCTATTCGAAAACACGGGAGAGAAATGCCCCCTCAAAGATGAATGGGCTGTTGAGTGAAGGCCACTACTTATGCAGGTGCAAATAATTGTCCATATTAGCACCACACAATCATACTATATATTATATATGACGCAAATTCCTCTTCTTATCCTCAATGCCGGTGAAAGGGGGTCTTCTCTTCACATATGTGACATATAACTATTAAATTATTGTGTCGATTGACATGAAATTATTAATTTTGCTAACGTAGTCTCTTTTAGTGAAAAAGATGAAACATGTTTATTAATTATTTTGAAAATTAAGACTTGATCGTAATATTATGTTTTTTTATATACAAATATTCAACAGTTTTAAATGTGACATGTACGGCCAGCCTAATAACATCTCCCAAATATTTCTATGGACTGTTGGATGAAAATCATTAGCCCAACAACCATTTGAGTACCTCTTTTGGAAGGATCTTCGGTGGTGGGACAGGGTTGGCTGGCACCGCCTTGGAGAATATTATAATGGGGAAACTAATGGCACCTTGGTCGATATGTCCGAGTGGTTAAGGAGATAGACTTGAAATCTATTGGGCTACGCCCGCGCAGGGTCGAACCCTGCTGTCGACGTTTATTTTTTTGTTTTCATTGTTGGTGGCACTGGCACAAAAAGCATTTCTATTTCCCGAGTATGTAACTACTAGCGTAGGATGATGTACGTGTACTCCGTGGATGGCACAAGCCCCCCTTAAATTTTTTTAAAATAAAATTTATTTTTTTATTAAAATATTGATTTAAATAAACCCGTACCTAAATAATTGTTAACTTTTTGAATAATATTTTTTGAAACCTAATTTAAAGACCTAATATATTTGCGATATTAAGTATAATAGTGAGTATTAATATTTAATAAACTCTATTGTCTATCTAATTGTCACAAATCATTAGATCTCTATCAATTAAATCTCAAATTAGGTACAATTAATATAATTGTTAATTTTTGGAAATGTTTTAGACATGTCCGAATATATTTTGAATATATTGATATTATTTTATAATTTTTTAAATTGTAAGATTATTTCGTTATTTTATAAAAATATGTGTCATTATGTAATAAATTATAGAATCATAAATAGAAGATTTTTACTATGATTTTATATATAAAAGAAATATTATTGATAAAATTAATTTATAACTTTTTGAAATGATAAAAATATATCAGAATCAATTATAAATAATAATAATTAATTGATATGAAGTTTTAGTTATTATTTTTTTATTCATGATATACATATTAATTTTTAATTTTTTATGTTTAAAAAATATTAAATATAATTTTAATAAATATAAATTTATAAACTTTTATGACCTATTAACAAAAATTAAAATATATTAACGTGTCCACCCAAAAACAAATTTCTACCTCCGCTCCTGCTTAGAACTAGCATTAGCATATGCAAACACAAGAAAGAGCCATCCCATCCCATCCCATGGAAGCCAGGATACTTGCGTTTGAATCCAACGGAGCGAACACAAGAAAGAGCCACAGAGCGAGAAGACTGAGAGAAATACAGTGAGAGCGTTGTTTGACAGTTGGGAGCTACAACGCAAGGTCGGATTTATTGTTGGGCTGAAGCCTGCGGTAAAAAAAAAAAAAAATTAATTTACCATTAAGTACCAACCCAACCCTCTCCAAAAAAAAAATCTCATCCAACCCAACTAACCCAATCCAGCCCACTGCAAAGTTTCCCCAATCGGTCTCTCTCAGTCACTTTCCCATGTCCTGTCTCTTCTCTCTCAGTCTCAGGCGAGTCACTTCCCCGAATCTCCGGAGAAGCAACGGCTCCAATGGCAGGCGGTGAGTCGCTCTGTGCAAACACCCTGGTTTGCGGGCTTCTTGAATCACACATAAATTTGTTTTTTTTTTTTCTGGTTCACGGACCACGGTGCTTCAGATTTCTCTGCAACGGCTACAAATTTCTTGTTTGTGGGCTTCTTGAATCACACACAGGTATTGATTTTCTTTGTTTGCGGTTATGCAAATTTTTTCTCTGCTTTAGATTTCTTGTTTTCCATATCCATTGTTTGTGATGTGCCGAACAGGCAGTCTACTCTTTCCTCTCAATCCCATTTTCTTATGCGGGTTTTCTGGTTCTCTACACCTAGTTTTGTTGCTTATTCTATTTATCTCATGGGTTTGCAAGAAAATTAGGATTAATAAGAATGAGGGCCAAAAACAGAGTGTTAGGATTAATAAAAATTGGTGGCCTTCACCAGGTTCTCGTATCACCATAGAAATGGTTGGTCTGAGGAAAAGGTTGTGACCCTTTTAGATTTGGTAATCAAAACACTTGCCTGATTTGTGTTCATTGTTTGCCTGGTTAGTTCTCTATATATTTTTCCAAGACCAAATTGGTGGCCGTCAAGTCCTCCATGAAAATAGATGGGTAGACGTGCCTTTTTAGCTTGGAGCTCTAGTGATAAACATTGCTGATCTTCTATAGGCAAGTATTTTTTTTTCATTGATTTTGACTTTTACAAGTTGTTTCAACCTTCTGAGAAGCTCTAGTTCTCTATGTATATTTCTCCATTGTTTGTGTTCATATGCATATAAGTAGGTATCTATAAGTATGTATATGTATAATATGTAGATGTATAATATAAAGTCTGTATCTATAAATATATATATGTATAATATGTAGATTTCTCTTCTTCTTTTCAATTTCTTGCTTCCTCTATCCAATGCTTGTGTAACACAAAATTAGAATTTTGGGGCTAGGTGATTTTTGGGGCGGAGGAACATAAAATTAGATTTGGTATATCTATATACATCTTGTAGATTTTTGGGGCTAGGTGATTCTTGTTGATTTGTTTCTCTAGTATACGTCTCTAATTTTCAACCCTTCTCTATTTTATTAGGATGGAAAATCAATAACGAAAAAAAGCAAAAATAATTTTTTCGTTCTTCAAAAAGAAAAGTGGAGAATCAACATCAAATTCTAGTCTTGAACCTTTGAGTCTAGTAGAAACATCAACAAGTGTTGATGTTCCTATGATTCCTACGGCTATTGAACCTCAAGGTCTTTAATCTCAAACAAAAGTTTCAAGGATTCTTTTTGATAAAAATGAACTTGAACGAGATCCCACATTGCGTATTCCGATATGAAAACATCCTACTTATAATCAAGATGAAGTTAGACGTGCTTATATAAAGTGGAGACCAAATCAACCTATCTTGGCTGAGTATCGGAGGAATAAAACTGGAGTTCAAAATCGAAGATTTCAGGAAAGTTGGTACAAAAAATTTCCATGGCTAGAGTATTCTATTTCAAAAAATGCGGCATTTTGCTTTCCGTGCTTTATTTTTCAAGGTTGTGAACCTCTACATTCTACATTTACCGTTGATGGTTTTAATAGCTGGAAGAGAGTGAATAATGGGGCCAAATGTGTTTTCTTGTCACACATGGGAGGTCCTGCTTCCACACACAATAATGCTGTGAGAAATGTTGAAGCGTTGAAGAATATATCAGTGTACATTGATAAAGTTATGAATATTCAAAGTTCAGAAGAAATAAAGAGTAATCGATTACGTCTTAAGGCTACCATTGATAGTGTTTAATGACTTACTTTACAGGGATGTGCCTTGATAGGTCATGATGAATCTATAATGTCAAAGAATCGTGGTAATCTAATTGAGATGATTAGTTTGATGGCAAAGTTGAATGTTGAGATAAATGATATTGTCTTAGAGAAAGCTCCAAAAAATGCAAAATATACGTCTCTTATGATCCAAAAAGATATTTTGCATATTCTAGCTACTAAAGTAAGAGAAAAAATCCGTAAAGAAGTTGAAAATGTCAAGTTTTGTATTTTGGTTGATGAAGTAAATTATGCATCAAATAAAGAACAGATGACAATTGTTCTGAAATTTGTTGATATTCAGGGTTTTTTGCATGAGAGATTTTTTGAGATTGTGTATATTAAAGATACAACTTCTTTAACTCTTAAGAAGAAAATATCAGAAGTTCTTACTTGACACAATTTACATATTCGAGATTTATGAGGTCAGAGATTGAAAGGGGGATAGCTAGTGGTGAACGAGAGACTGGTAAAAGGGCTAATTAGATGGGTACTTTGCATCGAGCTGGTACTACTCGTTGGAGCTCACATTTTGAATCCATTTGCGGTCTGATAGATATGTATGATGCTACCATTAGTGTGTTTGAATGTATGGTTAACGAAGGATCTTCAAATACAATTTGTGGGGAAACTGGTGGTTCTTTAATAACAATGAAGTCCTTCGATTTCATATTCATATTGCATCTTATGCACAAGATTATGGGGATTACGGATATGCTTTGTCAGACATTGTAGCATAAATCATTAGATATTTTGAATGCAATGAATTTAGTCTCATCGACAAAATCATTGCTTCAAACCATGCGAGCAGAAGGTTTTGATTATCTATTTGGCCATGTGAAATCAGTTTGCATGACATTTGATGTCGATATACCTGATATGAGCACTCAGTATAAAGGGACAAGACGTTCATGTCAATAGAATGATAATATTACAGTTGATCATCACTATCACATGAACTTATTTAATGCTACGATTGATCATCATTTAGAAGAGTTAAATAGTAGATTCAATGAAGAGACAAATGAAATTGTTTATGCTCAGCTCTACTTTAGATCATCGGGACAACTTTAAATCTTTCAATCTTGATCGCATTTGTTTACTTGCTTAGAAGTTTTATGTAACTGATTTTGATAGACAAGATATGCATCATTTGAAATGTCAACTGGATTATTATCAATTTGACGTGGGTCACCATGAAAGGTTTCAAAGTATGTCTATAATTTCAGAATTATGTCGTGGTTTAGTAGAAACAAATAAAGTAAAGTTCTACAATTTGATTAATAGGTTGATTCGTCTTATTTTAACTCTTTCCGTTTCTACGGCAACTTCAGAAAGAGCTTTTTCAACCATGAAACATGTTAAAAGTACTCTTCGTAACAAGATGAAAGATGCGTATTTGACTGATTCGTTAATTGTCTACATTGAAAGATAAATAACGGAAGTAATCGATACATATTTAATAATAGATGTCTTTTGTTATGTAAAGGATCGAAGAGTTCAATTTTATTAATAAGTGTTTATGAGTTTACATTTATATTATTAAATATATATTTATGAGTTTACATTTGTATTTCGTTAGTTATATGAATGCATAGTTTAGTCCGAAATAAACAAAAATTCTGTCTCCGTCTTTGGCTACACGACAAAGGGATCCGAACGCCGTAGCAAAGGCATTTGTGGAGCACTACTACTCGACGTTCGACGCGCATCGGCCGGGGCAGGTTAGCTTGTATCAAGATGAGTCCATGTTGACTTTCGAAGGTCAGAAGATCCTGGGCTCTCAGAACATCGTGGCCAAGCTCACCAGCCTCCCCTTCCAGCAGCGCCAGCTCCAAATCACCACCGTCGATTGTCAGCCTTCTGGACACGCTGGTGGTATACTCGTTTTCGTCAGCGGCAATCTGCAACTTGCTGGTGAGCAGCATGCTCTCAAGTTGAGTCAGGTATTTCTGCAAACACCTTCCGTACTTATGCTGAACTGTGTTTTTTTCTTTTGCTTGCAGAATTGTGGAATTTATTACCAAAATACAACACTTTTCGAACAAAAATACTAATCTAAGGTTCTTTTAAACTTATTTACCGATCTACAGCAGTTTTTGAAAGCAAAATTGTTGATTCGGTCTTTGAAACCGGAATCAACAATTCCGCTTTCAACAAGTGATACAACAAAAAGGACAAAAAAAATTTTTTTGCAAGTATTAAAAACGGTCTTGTTGATTCTGCTTTCATGGTGAAAGTAGAATTATTGATTTCGCTTTAAAAATTATAATAGATCGGTAAATAAGTTTAAAAGTGTGGTAAATTGGTATTTTTGTTTGAAAACGGCTGTATGGTAATAGACTCCGGAATTGTGCATATTTACTTGTTGTGATATACGAGCTTAATGTAGCGTTGCTTAGTGATCAGTTTATGATATGTGTGGGATTGATGGTTCTGATGCTGAGACGATTGATTTGTTATTGCTGCTTCTAACTGCTGGACTTGTTGTTGATTTGTTTTTGCTGCTTCTAAATGCTGGACTTGTGGTTGCCTTATTTAAATGTTGCAGCTAGATGCTGTTTAAATTCTGAGTACTAAGTGTCATGAAATGTGCATGTTGACGTGGTAGTCTGTGACTATTATTCAGAGGTTCGACCGTCCGAGGATGAATTTGAATTTGTCATCTTGGGTATATTACAGAAAAAAGGTGTAACTAGTCTAAGTGAGAGACCTGCATTCCAAATCCAAACGGAGGAGGTGTTGGGGACATATGCACGAGTTGACAGCTCAAAAACATTTAACTTTCTGTTGTTAAGTCGCGAATTTGATTCGATTGGGCGTTGGTGCAAGAGAGAAGGGATTTGGTTTTTGGGGCTGATGGGTGGTTGTCGATGTTGGTGGTCAGGGTTATTGTGGTGGTGTTGGTACCTTTAGGTGGGTTTGATTAAAGTGCATGTTTTCAATACACATTGGGTGATGTCGACTGAAGTTTTTTTTTTCCTTTTTTTGAACTGTGATGTCCAGTGACGTTTTGAGAGAGAAGTTGGGTAGTTCTTGTGTTCAATATGTAGGAAATACAATGTTATTTCCGTAAAGGATGTTCTTTTGAATATATGGAACAAGAAAGAAAAAACAAAAAAGAGAAGCTAGCTCAGGGGTTAACCAAATCATATTAACGAAGTTATCCTTGGCTTGGCAATGGAGTCTATAAAAGGCAGAATTAGAATTTTGATGTAATAAGCAACCTTTTAAGTGCTTTTCAACTTCAACTTATAAAAGCGCCATCCAACTAAATTGCTCATTTCTGCTGCTGCTGCTGCGAAAACGCGAATTATGTTAGGCAGATACAAAGCGTGAATCAGAATAACTTGATCATGACGTTCACTTTTTTCCCCTCATCATCCATTGCCTCTCTCTTCCCCATAAAAAAAGCATGACTTACATATAAACACATTTCTCACAACTAATATCACCAACTTTATACTATCTTGAAGGAAAAAGAATTGAGAAAGAGGCAAGAAGGAGAGAGCAAGGAAAGAAAAAGAAATAGAAGATGTCAGATTGGGGGCCGGTGTTTGTGGCGGTGGTGCTCTTCATACTGCTAACGCCGGGATTGCTGATTCAGGTACCCGGACCCAACCGATGTATCGAGTTTGGCAACTTTCAGACGAGCGGAATGTCCATACTGGTTCATTCCATTCTCTACTTCGCTCTCATCTGCATTTTCTTGTTAGCTGTGGGGATCCACATGTACATTGGATAGTAGTTCTCACAATCACCACCACCCACCCTTTAATCCGACTTTGCATCCTTGTGTTTCTTGAGAAATTGTTTGTACCCAGAATTTTTATGTAATTTGGTCTGATTCCTTTTTCCCTGCATGTTACTTCTCGCTTCCAGATGAAGTTAACGAATCATCATTTGATTGATATTGCAAAATACTGATTTGTTATTTTGGCTTTGTTTAAACTTATTTCTTTGGACTAATAGAATTTGTGTGTGATCCTCTGCATGAGAGATCTGTTTGAGAATGTAGTTTCATTTTGATCAATGTAATTCCAAGCTGATGTTAAGCAAGTATGGAAGGATATTTCTGAGTACTGTTGAGTCGGTAATCTCTGCAATTTGGATTACATCCTTTTTGTTTTTTTTTGGCTAAATTTGGATTACATTCTTAGATCCATAGGGTTAGTAAGTAGAATTGCAATTTTAGATGAACATTGAGTTTGGAATTGGGTTTTTGCAGTGGGAGGAAAAAAAAAGAAAGGGCTTCTTCACCCATGAGAATGAATTAGCTTGAACTACAACTGAAACTGGCAGTTTCCAATTTTCTGTCACCTAAGAAGTAATGGTTTCGTCAGAAAATGATGAGATTACATGGAGCAAAATCTCTAAAAACAAGAAGCATACAACCTTAAGTTGTGTTCGTAGACTGAAGAGGAATGCTCATAATTGCTTCCTACGCATAGAGATGGACATTAAGTATAACAAGGAACAGAATAAGAAGCAAACCACAGATAACAGTGTGCAACAATATGGAGGCTACAGTACTGGTTTTCATTTCCAAGAAATCAATAGGCCTATGCTTCCGAGGAAGTTGAAAGATTTGTCCTGGCGACAGAAATGCAAACAGCGCTGCAGCTTTGAGTGGAGCGAGCTGCCTAATCATTCACCCCCTCCACCTTCCTAGTTTTGATTCTTCCAATAAGAGGACGGAGGAGGAGAAAAAGAAGAAAAAAAAAAAGGGGAAGGGGGGGGGGGGGGGGGGGCTTAGAATGCCATCTAATGTGACTGCAAGTACTTTGGAGAGGGAATGAGAATACCATAAAGTTAAGAATATCAAAAATTAATCATCCACTTTCCATTTTGTTCTAATTGCTTATTTGCATTTTTGGATGGGGCTTGGCATCATTTTTCTTAAAAGACTAATGGACACTTTGAAAAGCGGATATGGTGGTTGAGGCCTATGCTTCAGTAACCGAATAGGGCATACCTCCCCGATGGTATTTGAAATTTTAATCTCTCCTGCTAACATGGTCCCAGGTTTTGCTATTTGTAAATACATATTTTTTATTTTTTCATTTACTCTTTGGGCAAATGGCAAAGGGGGGTATTTTTTAATTTAATTTAAGCAGTTATCGCTTCTTATATGATGAAATAAACCATTAATCAATAAAATTGTTGTTTTGGTAAGGGTTACTGCTAGTTTTCTTTTTATTTATTAAATGTTTGTTTATGCCCAAGGGTGCGTGCAAGATCCTGCACAATATAAAAAACGGGAACAGATCTCTCCCCTGGTGAACTTCGAGTGAGCCGGTGGAGTGACCAAACACGCTGCTTGGGACAGCCTGCATGGTACGGTGGTAACCGGAACGGCAACGGGAGACCCTGGGAAAGGAGTGACGGTCCTGTGAGGATGAAAGGGGTTCCTGGAACAAAGAAGAACAAGTTAGAAGGGCGTCGGAGTGTTTTTCGGCGTATCCCCTCCGACGGTCTAGTCAGTCTTTGAGTGAGAGAGAGGAAGGAGAAAACACTGAGAAAAATGTATTGCAGTAGAGAGTTTGTTGTTGCATACCCGCTTTGCCTTTTGCAAGGAGTATTTATACCTTAAAAGCCCATGATTGCTGTCAGTAGGTGATCATTAGGCACAGGTAGCGTGTGCATTGATTCTGATGAGGAATGTCTTCTCTAATTAACTGCTCGGGGTCCCGAGCAATCAATGCTGAGTCGTCGGGATGCCGACGGTACAATATGCTCCTCTCGGGGAGGATGTAATAAATGCTCTGTAATATGAGCATTTATTGCCTTTCACTTCCGAGCCTTACCGCATTGAATGCGGTCTCATCAACGGAAGGGTGCAATTAATTGTTTGCTTTCCCAAGCCGCGTGTCAGCAACGGCATGCGGTTTGTCTGCCTTTAATGTGACATCATTTGCCACGCGTCCATCCCCTATTGGCTGTGACCTTTGTATTCCAGTATGTTCTGACATTACTTGTGTAAGACGAGGTCATGATGAACAACCTAGACTAGCCTAGGCTAGTGACCTGTACGTCAATAGCTTATCCTGAAGTAGAGGAAGCGTCCAGGACGGGGTACCTCTCGGCACCGAGGAAAGGCTCATCTCGGGTACCGAGGGAGGTATGCCGACCGAGGTTCATATCAGGCCGAGGCCACGTGTCGGTGTAAAAATATACCGAATGTATGATCCTATATGTCGGTACCTCGGGGCGAGGACCTTCGTGCGCCGATGGTGCTTGATCTTAGCAACAGTGCTTTAGTAAAACCGAGGACACGTGTCTTCATCATACGGTTTTTCAGAAAAGTCCCATCAACTGCCCCCCAGCCTTCGATCTTCTGACACCGAGGACACGCGTTGTAAGGAGACGAAGGGTTTCCCAACTACCATCCGTCCTTCATCATGGCCTCGAGCCGCTTTCCCCGACTTGGGATGTCGTGCGCATTAAATGCGCCGTTTCGATTTTCCTGCCCAATGATGAAAATTTGCCCCTATATAAAGGGGGTTCCTCTCCGGTTTCCTTCGTTTTGCTATTTCGAACTTTCTCCAGAGTACGTCTTCTTCAATCTTCGCCGGAGTTTCGTTTCTTCTGCCGTCGTCGATTGCCCATTCTCCTTCAAAATCTTAAAGTCAGCAGACCCATTGTTGATTTCTGAACTTTCTGGAGGGAGTTACTTTAAGGTTTTTCCAGAAAAAAACTCCATTTTGGACGTTCGGGTGAGTTTCAGAATCCTCTTTCTGTTCTTCCTCCTAGCCTTTCGTTTTCCGATTGACTGGAGGTGTCGTCCGGTCGGTACATAGCGATTTAAACCCTCGGGAAACTTCCTCAGGAATTTTCAAGAACAAATACCCTCTTCTTTCTTACTTTTTTAGAGATGCCTCGTCGTCGCCTTGCTCCCGAGAATCCTCATGCTGGTCTTTCGGGGTCAGGGAAATATAAGGTAAAAGGCGATGAGCAGATCAATAGGTTTAGGGCCAAGTACAGCATTCCTTCATGCGTAGATGTAGAGGATTTTGACCCAGTGGTGCACTCACCTACCCTCGGGGCCGAGGATGCCATGCCCTTCTATACCAAGGCCATCATAGAGGGTGGAATTAGGTTTCTTTTACCCCCCCTGCTTCTTCAGTTCCTCTCTCATTTCCGCCTCTTCCCCGGGCAATGCTGCCTTAACGTCTTCCGAATAATCATGGGGGTCTTAGAGCTCAATAGGCGCCTCGGGGTAACTATTGGGCTCAACGATCTCCTTTTCTGTTATTCCCTCCTTAGAGTCATGCCTCACCAACACTTCTACCTCAAAGCCAGGGACCCCTCCATGTACCTTGTAACCCATCTTCCTGACTCGGACAAGGGGTACAAGAACGATATCCTAATCTTCAAGGGATCTTGGCAGAAGAGGTGTTGGTCCCGAGTACAATGACCTGTTATGCCCTCTGGAATGGAGAACGACAAGTACATCGGTTCCTTTGGGTTTCTTACTTCTTTCTCCGGACTTCCTATGTTCATGACAACTTTTTTGTTTGTGCAGATATTCCTGCTCGGGAAACAGCTCCTCCCCCTCGGTCGCTG